GTACGCATTGTCGGTGCTTTTCAACATGACTTGTGATGCAAAATAGATGTTAAAGATTTTGCAAATCCGTTCAATCAGCGATGTTATTATTGTTACTCGCTTTACTTTCACTTAATTCTAAAAATATCGTATTCCTACTCTATCAATACCATTTATCTTGACCGCACATGACTCTTGTACCTTGTCCTTGTTCCATACCTGCAACCATGGGCGCCCGCAGGGGGGGGGGCAAGGGGTCACTTGCCCCCCTGGATTGATTGGATTAAAAAAAATTAGACAAAAATAGACAAAAATGTATTAAAGTAAAGAGAAAATAAAGAGAAAGTAACTAAGCTGATGTCCTGTACGTTCGTTCACACTACAGTAAATTAAAACTACATTAAAAAATTACTAAAAAAATTCTCCCCCCCCCCCTAGAAAGTTAATCGATTTTTTTTGCCCCCCTCCCTTAGAAAGTTAATCGATTTTTTTGGCCCCCTCCCCCTAGAAAGTTTTCTGCGGGCGCCCATGCCTGCAACATGACCCTAGTCATTTGCGACAAATAGAATATACAGTCGAAGAGAGGCCACCTTTTGACTTCTCTTGCATTAACTAAATGTACTAACATTCTGACCAGCCATCAGCAGTGCACAGGCACACATTAAATAAAACTTATATTGTTAAAAGCCTAAAAATTACGTAACAATTTTAATTTACAATAATTGAATTTGTTAAAATAATGCAATAACCAGTCAATTTTTAAGATTAAAATTGAATAGATAAAACATGATTTTTGACGTCAACTAATCTAAACCCCCCTTTCCCTTGTCAACAATTGTCAAACATCCCCCCTCCCCTTGTTGACATAATTAATGGACGACTCTTAAGTCTATCGCACTTGGTAACACCAAACATAATGAACGCTACTGCCGGTATATTTTAATTGTCTTAGCACTCTATTCCAATTCATTTTGTGTACACATTTTTTTTCTAGGCCCAATATCATCACCTTAACTAATATTTGGGGTTTGTTCATTTGCAAGTTTGGGGCTTTGAGTTGGAGCGAACGAAGCCTACTCAATAAAATATTATTTACAGACAAATATTTAAAAGCTGTAAAAATTTTATGGACAAGCATATTTTGTACAAAATATTATGTTAATCTAATTTAGTTAAAGCTATTTAAATATATAAAGTTGAACCAACTGTTTAAAATTCATTGTTTGTAACTTATTAAACTTAAATGACTTTCAATTACTTTTTTTTAAACGTAATATCTTTATAACTATATCAAGTATATCGTAGCCCAACCTTATATGACTTAACTATTAAAAGTAGCATTTACATTCAACAACATACTGAAACTTAAAACGTTTAACTTATACTTATAATACGTTCGTTTTGTTTTGTTTTTTGTTTTTTTTGTTTTTTTTGTTGTTTTTTTTTTTTTTTGTTTTTTTTTTTTTTTTTTTTTTTTTTTTTTTTTTTTTTTTTTTTTTTTTTTTTTAACTCTTTTTTTTTTTTTTCTTTTTTTTTTTTTTTTTTTTTTTTTCCCCCCCCATTTCAGTGGTTTAACTTAAGTGAAATTTGTTTAACATAACAATAAATTAAAAACCAAAATAATGTATTCTTTGCTTCTAAGTATGCCTGGCAATACACTTTTTATGGTATTTAGTTTAAAAAGTATGCCCCAGTTTCTTTGCGCGTGCGCACACAAATTTAGCATAAATGTCCAGGTTTAGCAATAAAATTGTCCCCACAACAAATCATAGCATTTCGCGTTATTCCATATTCAATGATCAGATCAATAATATGCATATGTTTATGTCACAATAGACGGTTAATAAAATAAGAAATTAAAGCACCATTATTAATACAATTTATGGTTGCAGACGTTCTCTCTCAGTCTTTCTGTTTCGATATGTGTCACTCTCCTTCTCTCTTTCATTCGCTATGCTCGCTCTCTCTCTCTCTCTCTCTCTCTCTCTCTCTCTCTCTCTCTCTCTCTCTCTCTCTCTCTCTCTCTGTCCTCTCTCTCTCTCTCTCTCTCTCTCTCTCTCTCTCTCTCTCTCTCTCTCTCTCTCTCTCTCTCTCTCTCTCTCTCTCTCTCTCTCTCTCTCTCTCTTTCTCTCTCTCTCTCTCTCTTTCACACACTGACACACACTTAACGTCATATTATCTATCCCCGTATTATGTATCACCAAACCTCTGTGTTATTTTTGCTAGATGTGTTAGCTTTGTAGACGAGTGTGGTGGGGTGTGGTAACGGTAGTAGAATTTTTCAATTAATTTTATTTTGTCGAAAAAGGTTGTTATTCATGTAAAAGTTATTTCCTGTACAAGATCAAGAAGCGTCATTGGTGAAGAATAAATGTAAATGCATCTATGAGTTCTGAAGTCTACCCACGTCTTTAACTTAAATGCTGTTTTAAAAATGTGTACTCCAACTTTGGGCATACGGATAATCCTAGTGTTTGATAATTTAAAAAAAAAAATGAAAACATTATTTTAATTTGTTTTAAATTTATATTTGACAGTTGTGTAAAACTATAAATGTTAAAACTAACGTTGTTGTTACGTTTTTAAACGTTTACATCAGGAGAAAATCTATTAATGGATGTAAATTATCTTTGACAATAACCTTGCAAAGCGTTCTTGTCATTTCTTATCAAATAAAGATCATAGACATTAATAAAGGAACGAAAAAAAATGTGTTAATCTATATATTTGTATTTTTATACTTCTTTTGAAGTTTTCCAGCTCTCCCCTAAATTTCCTCCTGTGATAGCTGAATAGAAACCTTGGACAAAACAACAGGAAAAATGTTCAACTATTTCACTCTTTGGCCTATTTTTTTGCCATGGTCCCAAATTTAATAGCCTTACTAAAACACTTTCTACCAAACCAATGAGCTACTTAACAAGCTTCCAAAAGGCAGGAGAGACTACAGGAAATTTTATTTTGTAGCTATACATCTTGTTACGAGTTATTAAACTTTGGCTTAGTTAAGGGAATTGGTATGAGTGCAGGCGTGGGTTGAGAGGATACATTGGGGAGTTGTGGAAGTCATTATGTTGGAGGGGATGTGATGACGGTGAGGGGGTGATTGTGATTCTCGGCTATAAAGTGGATGTTTAATTTTAGGTTTTAATGGTTGATTCTATGAGAGTAATGGAAAACAGTTTGTTAGCTGACCAGTGATAGATGGGTAGGGGAATGCAGATGGGGATACGGGGGTAGTGATATGGATAGCGTGAAATCTTTGGTTTTTATTTTTTACTATAGGAAACATTTTACTGTGATATGTGGTGAAATAAGGGAGAAGTGAATCAGGTGAGTATGAGAAGTTTGTGACTCCAGGGGATGGTAGGCCTACTTTACTTTTTCACATCTCACTCACGAAAAACACAAAACACACGGAATACACATCAAACAATCCAAGTAAGAATATATATGAAGTTGTTTTAAAATGCCATACTTTAATATAAATGGTGTATGTCTGAAACTTTGCTAGCTTAACAAATTCAGCAATCGTAATGCAGGTTTTTAAAAGCAGTTCTTAAAGTTATTGTAGCTTTTTTTTTTTATTCAGTTGGTTCATATGGTTGTAGAAGACTATGAATATAAATCTAATCAGACCATATTATTATGTTGCATAACTTAGCAATCATTGCACTGTATTTCCCTAAATTCCACTTTGTGCGTGGGTTGTTTTTTTTTATTGAGTTGGTTCATTCAGTTTTCGCACCGAGCGCAGCTTTTCTTCTGCAAGGCCCTGCTTATGACTCTCAAGCCAGGTTGGTAATTCATTTTAGAAATGGGATAACAAAACAGAAAACGCCCAAATCAAAACTCATAAAGAAAGATCTGGAGACGGGGTCCAAATGTTGTTATGACGTTGACCTCAATGTCATTTCGGAACTACGGTAGCGCAGTTAGTGCCAAGTTGTACCGACAGTTGCCTTCCCCTTGAATCCTCAAGCAGCGTGGAGATTGGGAGGTGCTGTATTTGGGTAACAGCTGGCCTCCGTAACACACCTCTCAGATGTAAAGCTTAAATGAAGATGACACTTCAGTTGCACAGTTGTAGCATTTAATTGCAAAAGACATAAATGATTACTTTTTATCTTTAAAAACCCACAACAGTCAAAGTTCTCCTGAGAGAAGTGCAGCCGAGAATGTAAGTCCAGCATCGGCCTCATAAGCAACTCTTTAATTGTTGTTTTTTTTTTTCAATTATTATTTCCTGTTTTGTATAAATAACCTAAGATTTTTTACAATAATTTTTACAGCTTGGAAGAAATCCCTCATTATAAATATTTTAATGTTGATCGTCGAATTGAAAGTTGAGACAAACTACAAGCACACCCTTTTCCCAGACTCTACGCCAGCATTTTTATAAAATATAAGCCTTCAATATGTACACGGCCTTTGTACGCATAGTCGCTTAGCATACCTGCCAAAAAAGATCATTATTGAAATTTTAAAAGAAAAAGATACAGGTTAACTTGGAGTAAATTGTGTTAATAGTCATAATATAAAGACTTTTATTATTTAAAATGAGAAAATATTTTTAAACTGTATACACATTATGATTTATTCACCTTTTTTTTTAATAAAAAAAAAAAAAATCAGTGCTCTACGTCCCACTTAAAAAAATATAATCATATAATATAAAAACTTTTATTATTTAAAATAAAAAAATATTTTTAAAATGTATAAACATTATAATTTATTCACCTTTTTTTTTTAATAAAAAAAAAAAAAATCAGTGCTCTACGTCCCACTTAAAAAAATATAATCATCTAAACCTAATTAAGTTATAATGAAAAGCGCTGAACACTTTAAATTAAAACCTTGAAATTATTATGAAGTAATTATGAAATTAATATATAAATATATTTAATTTATTCAACTATTTTGTGTTAGAATTGCATTCACACTGTTTTGAGACTTTGTACTTCAGCTTTTGGCCAACTTTAAATTTTGGCTGAATCTTATTAAGCTTTGGTGGGAAATCTGGGAGCAATGATAAAAACATTGAGTAAATGATAAAGGAAGAACTAGGCTAACAATACATGTAGCCCAAAAATTTGTATTATTATGTTGCCTAGAAAAGGATGGAGATGTGTGGCTGGCCGGTCTGCATTCCGTCTTCAATCAGAAATGCAATATACTGGCAAAGGACCATCCAGGTTAACTCAGGCAAGTGAAAGAAGGGGGTTCAGAGGTTTGTCCCTTGAAACTCGGTCACTATGTCCCTTAGTGTCAATATGGCAAAAAATACCGCGACGCAATTGCTTGCTCTGCAGTTTCTACAATCTACGTGTATTTATTTATAAAGAATGGAATACAACAACAAACACAATAGACTAAAGGTAGAGATCTGAGTTTTGTTATATTTAAGTTTGAAGATGAAATTGAGGAGGCCTAGCCTACAAAAAAAAGTGCTACATAACAATAAAAATAGTAGCCTCTACTCTGCCTAAACTTAGACTTAATTAAATAAAACAACCCCTAAAAGCAAAGTTTTTCCTAAAATCCTTTTAAAAAAATGTAATATCGAGAAATGAGGGGGTGGTAATGAAAATTTCACATGACATAACAGACATACAAGTAGTTAAAGTAGCACACTTTACAAGAATCCCAATAAGTGTCTTCCCCCCCCCCTTTTTTTTTTCCCAACTGATATACAATACAAGTAACACTTAACTTTATAATTATAAGAATCCCAATTAGTCGCCCCTCACCCAGGCTTGCAACAGCACAATTTATCCATGCCCCTGAATCATAGTATAATTATTATTCTAATGACCCACCGACTTTTACACAGAAGATTTATTTCAAAACTATTTCAGAAAAAAAATATATTACTCACCATACGCCCTTGCAATATTTTTATAAAAAGAATCTCATTTAGCGCAGTTATCAGAAATTTTATTTTGTGAAATCAGCGTCATCATATTTCATTCATTTGCTCCTTGAAAAATGGGGAAAATTTATTTTTGGGCAATTGGTTGGGGAGTGGGGCTGAAAATTCTACAGCATGTGTTGTCATTGGCAACAAGTCTATGTGTCAATTTTAAGCTCAATAAGTTGACGGGAAGTGTGTCACTTAGCCATCTGAAGATTTTGTCAGCAAACCACGATCAAAAGCGAAGTAAATATAAAGGATTAAAAAATCTACTCATTCTACTCTGAGTCTACTGAGTGCTAGTAATCAATGACACCAGTAAGTAATAGAAATACAAATACTGAAGTTCAATGGGCTTCCAACTGTTGCACAGTAGAATATTTGATAGTTATTTATAGTAGTAATAAATCTATAAATTATTTAATAGGAATTAAAAGAACATTACTAACACTGTAGTTGTTAAGAATTACATTCATTATCATTAACCGATTTGTAATTACTGTTAACTACTCAAATTAGCTGCAACCATGCTGTTACCATACTACTCGGTCTTACTATTAACTTTTAACAAATGATATCAATGAAACCGCATTCAATTTGTTTGCGCCAAAATCATGTAAAGACAGTATATTTCACCTTTTTTTTTTTGGCCTGGTGAAGTAAAAAAAAAAGTAGTGTTTTTTAACTGCTGAGCTGGTTGAATTGTGTGTACAGAAGTTTGAGTATGTTTTTAATCTTAAGTATTGTTGGTCAACAGAGACAAATAATTGTTCATAAAACTTATTACAGGTCCCACAATAGCCTTCAGTGTCTCAAGTGTTAAATTGAACCCTTTATGGCACTTGTCTTTTATGTTTAAATTAATGTAACATGCAATATAATTTTTACACCCCCCTCCTCCTCCATTATGCCTTGATTATCTATCTTTGTATCTGACTTTCAATTTAAAAAAACACACTTCAAACCTGGTTATTCTTACAATTTGGCTTACAATGTTTGATTTTGAGATATTTTTTTCTATTGTGCACAGACCTGTCAGAATTACAAATTTAAGAGGCGGGTAAATAAAAATATATTTGGCAGCTTTTATGATTAAAAATAAAATATAATTTCTGTTAGTTTTAGCCCCTTTCGACATTTGGCAGTGAATGGAATTAGAAATATGATTGGTTTGAAAGCCATAAAATAACACCGCCACGTTTCATAATGATGGTGATGATCGTCATATTGTTTCATTGCATTTTCACAATGAACAAAATATGCTAACAGTAACATTAGCATAGTCTCCATAGTGACAAGTTTTAGTCAACATTTGCTTTTGTTTTCTTTGGTGCTTTATGACGTAATTTTTTTTACATAATTATTTCGTTCTTTGGCTAAACTGCAGCAATTGAGAAAATGGAGAAAACTACAGATTTTTTTTTTTAAATTCATTTCCAACTGCTCCGCTAATTAGCACTAGATTTTGAAATATTTTAAAAGATCTAGTAAGCTGAATTTGAAATCTAATTTTAGCAGTCACTGAGCAGCTGTACAATTTTAATACACCATCTCTGCTTTTCCCCCTTTCTCTCATTACAGCTCGCAGTAGTTATTAGCATTAAATATGTAATGCAAAACTATATTCAGTCATAGGCCTAAGTGCAACCCTGCATTTTTGAATTTATAAAAAAATTCTGGAAATTCATGCGGGTGAATTCTGCGGGCGTCCCCTATTTCCGCTCCCCACCCTATTTTAGTCTAAAATTAGTGATCACACGCACATTTTAATTTTGCAATAAAGTGCTGTATATAAATATAATTAGCGTCAGTCATCTACTTTGGAGAGGGACCTTTTTTAGACATGCTGTGATAATAGTATTGTATACATAATACTGTATGGTTATTTATTTACTATTACAATATGGCATTGTACTATTTTGAGATGGTAAAGCACTATTCTGGAAAGATTGGACCATTTTGATAGTTGGAGAGTAACCAGGTCTGACACTTCAAGTTTTTATTAGTTTTGCTAGTAGCACATCACGTAAATGTGTATTCAAAATATTTTAAAAAGGAAATTAATTAATGTCACATTTAATTTTGTTTTATATTCTGTTCACATATTTTGTTTTTGTTAACTATATCGATTCCTAAATATTTACGAACTCACATATTTTCACATGCAGCTTCCACGACATCTACTAAACAACATTCCGGAAGGAAATGATGTAGTTGACATAATTTTTGCACTAGACAGACTCAGTGTTCAACATTGTACAGAACGAAATACAAACTCTGATCCTAATAATGATGAGGCTTTCATTGAACTAAAGGTATTTTATTGGTATACATAACTGTTGAAGTTTTAAAGCAAAATAATTAAAAGTTATAAAATAACCTAATTGGTGAAAATAAATATTTTGTAATTCACAGAGACAAATAAGTAAACAGGCACTCAAATTGTTTATAGACATTAGTAAAATACTACATAAATTTTCAGGCAAGTCGTTTTACTTATGTTGTCAAAGTAATGTTTCACTTAACATTGTTCGGGTTTAAAAATCATGTAGGTGTAATTTATCGTTTTAAAAATTTTCCTTGGTGTTTCATGTTTCAGAAGGTCCTAGGCATGTTAATGAGTTTTGAACCCAGGCGTCCCCATGGTAATGATGTACAAACAAACGATGAAAATCAAGATAAATTTGCAAAGAATTTTTCTAATTTAGGTGGTGTTGAGGTATGATTCAATATGAATTAATTGGGCTTAAATTTGCCTCGGGCAGTCAACTATTAATGGTTTGACCTTCAAAGCATTTAGCATTAATTTACTTATTTAGTTAAAGCTGGACAGGGAAGTTGGGAGCAGATGCTTTATGTTGGAATAAATAGAACAAAATGTTTGCCAAATGTGTTATTATTGTATAATAACTCTTCACTCTATTATTATTATTATTATTATTAAACCTCTTTAAGCTGTAATGTTTGGTCTTAAAACTTTCTTTTCCTAATCCCCCCACCCCCATATATTTATATATATTTCTTTTTAAATATTTTTTTTACTTTCCAAGATCATGGTTAGATTTTTAATGGCTGGTACTGTGTTACCCAAGATTGCGTTAAGTAGAGCAGAAAAAAAGGGTAAGGTTGCATGGAAAACTAGTATTTAATATTTAACTCTTTAACATTTAATGTTTCCTCAGACTCTTACTCGTATTTTCCATAGAAAAACTTTTCTTTGAATTAAATTATAAACATAAATTATATAATTACTTTTTATTAGCACAAGTAATAAACAGATAACTTAAATAATTCCTTTTTATCTACACATTAAGGATCTTGAGTAATAATGTCACATAATCACATATTTTGACAATTTAAAAAAAAAAATAAGCAAACAGTGAATTTGACATTGAATTCATATATGACTATTTACTTACTTTCTACAGCACTTGTATGTGAGGCTCCGCGAGCATTAAGACTGAAAAGTCTTGTTTTAGAGATATTAATTAAACTCAACACTGGGGTAAGAACACTGACTTGTCTTTCCTTTCACTTTTTCCTACGGTCATAAGCTAAGGAATAAACATAAAATTTAAATGGAGAAATAATGCACAACCATCCTCTACAAGTTTCTTTTAACGACTGCTAACAAGAATATGTATGCAGGCCAAAGGCAGTCTGGACAATAGTCATAATTACATGAAATATAGTCACCAACTTAAAGGCGGGAAGGGCGTTCCTTAACAAACTCAAATACATTCAATAAAACACAATATTCTGTGCGCAACAATTACTAGTGAATTCCCATACTAGACAGCCCCCCACTATATTGCAAAATCAACGCAGACTTTCTTTACTGGAATTATTTCAAATGAGTTAAAATGAAAGCAATGATTTCTGTGATATTCCATGAGCTAGAAATAACATTATTAGCCTTTGTGGTGATGGCGAGGTGAGAGTCAAATATTGACAATTTTAGCCCAGGCTTAGTCGTATCATTGCAGATAAATTCATTTGGGAAAGGGTGGAAATCGAACAGAAAAGACAAATATTAGATAAAAACACAATTTTTTTAATGCCATTAGAGAAGATACCTTGTTCAATGTAGTTTCAGAAAATATATACTTTTAAGGGTCTCTGAGTTCATTTAGTATAGGATATTGACATTTTCAACAAGCAAATGAAAATGCTAACAACTGCTTGACACTACAGAAAAAATGCATTTGACAGCTATGAGGTTAAAAAAGCCATTTTTTCAAGCAATATTCATTTTAAAAAAGAGTAATACAAAGTGTGGTACATCATTTAGCCACGTATGTATTTTTTGGGCTGCATTATAAAAATGTGCAAATATATGTGAGCTGGAGTAGTGAAATTTTTCATATCACTTTTCTGTTACTCAAATATTTTGTCAATCAATACATGTTTTTTAAACACAAATTTAAGGCTTATTCATTTCCGACCTTTCAGTGTGTGGCAGAGAAGGCACTTTCAAAAGAGCTTTTTTGTGATGAAACAATGAATTACCTGTTTACACTGTTAGCCAACAAAAAAACATTTGTAAATGCTTGTCAACTTATAGAAGATATTTTACAACATAGGAAAGATGTCTTAGATTTGCATCGGATCAGTAAGTTAAAAAGAGTTTGTATGAGTAATTTGAAATATGTTTGTAGTAGTGAGCTACAAAAGACATAATATGTAATTATAATATCCTGGTTATCAATCTTTAATGCTGCAAGTTTCTGACTCTTTGTTGTTTTTTTATGATGCTTTTATAAATAATGTGCTGCATTAAGCAGGCTTTTTACTTGATTTTATGGATGCCTCAGTTTAAAGCTGTATAAATGAGGTTTAAAAATTAATTTCGCTTTCTTCAAGTGCATGTTAAATTATTTTACAATTGCCTTTGATATAACAATTTTTTATCCATTTATTAAACCTCAAACTTTCCAAATATTTGATGTCATTACTAATTTAACTATTCTTATCTCAAGCTAACCTGCGTGCACTTTTGACATGTCTTGATGACTCACAGTTAGCCAACTTCTGTAGGATATTAGCAGTGGCCATCTCAGACTTAGATATATATGAAAACAAGTCTTCATGTAAGTTCACAGACATACACGATATGTAGGTTGCCTTGGGTTTAGTAATAATTTCATGTAGTGTTAACCTGAGGAAGGAATTCACTGTGGTAACCTACAGGTCTTAATGATTCTTTCAGTACGTCTTTTGCTTATTGCTGTAACAACAAAATATGGGACTAACTTTCCAGATAGATAGTTTGTTTAAGCACTTGGGGACACTATAGTTTGTGTAAGTACTTGAGGGACCCTATAGTTTGTGTAAGTACTTGAGGGACACTATAGTTGTGTAAGTACTTGAGGGACACTTGTGAATATAGTGGGTAATCAATCTCCTATAGAGCCATCTCACCGGCAGTTGAGTTCTTGCAGAATAAGAAAATAAGGTGGTGTCTCTTCTGGGTTAGGGAGTCTTATTTCAGGTTTTTTTATTAGATAAAATTATGTTAAAACTTTACGAGCTACTAGTTTTTAATAGGCCTCAAAAGCTATTAGTCATAATTAAAATGACTACATTCTAAAAACTTCTTCCTTTCGTTGATGCAATTTATAGGTGCATTACGTAATGTTTTATATTTGATATTGATATATTTTGAACTGCCTCAGAATCTACATCAGAAAAAAAAAACTTTTTTCAAACTTTCCTTGTTTGGCCTGTTTACCTATATTTAAGATCAAATATCTTAATATTTTACAGTTGATCCTATAACAAATTTGGCAGTTTGTTGGACATAATAAGGTTTTTACTAATTATTTAACTATTTTTTATTTGCAGTATTTGCACAAAATAAACAGAAAAGGAGTAAAGGTTTTGTAAATCTCCGAGATATTAATCAAGGTAAAGATGGCCTTCATTCAATCTTCTAACTTCTAAATCAAAATTCTGATTTAACTTACACTGTAAATCCATGCAAGACACATCAAACTAACATGCACCCTGTGAGAGAAATCATGCTTCCAATTATTGGAAAGTCTAATATTATTTTTCGTAATAAGTTCCTGCTCTAGCAACCAATGAAATTTGATTTAATATTAGTTTGTTCTTTTCAAAAAAATTGGATATCTTTGAATTTCATTAATGTGGGTGAAAAAATTATTTAAATCAGATAATTAGAACAAAAGTTGTAAGCATTTTAAAATTGTGCATAATTAGGTAATTTTGTTTATACCTTGACAACTTTAAAAAAAAAAAAATACTTATATTGCTTTTATTTATAAAATAAAAAGACTGTTATTTTTGGAATAGAGCATACTTCATAGATAAATAGTTTTCTAATATTACGTTTTTTACCAAAAAAATTAAGATTTTATGGGTTTAACCTGCTAATACATGACTATTTACAGTATTAATAATTATTCCCTTGAATTTAAAAGAACTTAATCTTTAAAATTAAAAGACATAATTCCTCTTTCTTAGCTAAACAGTTCTTAAATCTCGTTGCATTTATTACTTATTTTAAATTTTAAATAAACATCTATTGTGAATTTTTTTTCTTATGATTTAGAATTATTACTGGGCATACCTGACTTATTACCTCGTCTTGTACAGATTGCCATTAGTAAAGAATGTGAGTATACAAACTTGTTTATTGCAAATACCACATTTGTGAAAAATGGGTACATTAATAAAAAAAAAATTATATTCATATATTATTATTATTATTATAATTAAAGTGGTCTTATTTACCGCGGTACCCCAGCCTAGGGCAAGGCTCAACGCACTTGATTTAAAATTAGCACACAAAAAGCAACCCCAAAAAAAATACAATTTAGTCAAGTTTTCTTATAATTTAGGTCACTGTTATCAAGATCTATAAGACAAAATTATATTCTCTTTGCAAGGCTTTAAAAGTGTATCATCATTTTCTTTTGAGTTTAAAGATAAAAAATAAGAAAGTTGATAAAGCAATGTACTCCTTCATTTTTAAACATTTTTCTCTTTAAAAACTAGAATTTTGTTAAAATTGTATATACAGATTTAAAAGAATTAAGCATCAGATACTGCTTTCATGGTGGTAAAAAACTATACCTTCAGTGCCTTAAACCCCCCCCCCCCCCCCCCCCCCCCCCCCCCCCTCCCTTTTTCTTTTTAAAGTGCATAAATCTTGGTATTTGATATTAAGTAATGCCCATAGGAAACTCTGCAAACCTTTCTGCTCTAAAGTATTTTCTATGTACCACAAAATAGATACACCACGCTATAGGGGAATGCCTAGTGAGCTGGATTGTTGGATGGAGTGGATTGATAACCAAATGGCTGATGAAGTGTATGAGCCACAAGCTTCTGATGATTTTGATGATTTTGTTGGAGGTCAGTGCTTGGCCCTTTGGACATTGGAAAAGGGATTTCAATGTTTTATTCTAATTATTTATATGTTATAAAATTAAAAGACCTGTTTCGTCTTACGACTTTGGCGTACAATGTACGATTTTGAGATGTCTTTTACAATTGTACTCAGTGACCTGCAATTTTAAGGGTCCGGGTTAAAAATATATTCATTCCAATAGTTTTTCTGATTAAAAAAGAAAAAAAGTATAAAAAAGAACATTTTCGGTTGTTAGTTTTCACTTACATTTGCATTCAACATCCAGCAATGAATGAACTTGCTAGAATAGGCAACCGTAATATTAGTGTAGTTGCCCCATGTCAGTTTTGGTCAATTCAGGCCCACCCTTTTGAGGAAGGGTGTCGATTTTTAAGATTTTGCCTACACGTGTGGGAGGGGAGTCTTGGCAAAAAGTATGTACGTTATTAAAAAATTTGGCTTTTTTGCATGGGTACAATATAGATGGCCCCTTGCGTTTGTTTGCTTTGGCGCTTTTTGATGTAATTTAGTGACAATTATTTCTTACGGTTGAACAGCGACTATTCAGAAACAGAGGAAAATAGAAAGTGCATTCTCAACTGTTACGTACAGCAACATTAGATTTTGACCTATTTTATAGGATCTGAGAGGGCCTTTGGAATCTATTTTTAAATGTACAAAACAGCTGTATGATTTTTAATACCCCCTCTTCTTTTCAACCATTTACGCTTGTGGCAGTTATCAGACTGTAATATCTATTTTTAGAAGCTACCTTTTTTTGACACCAGCTTAACTCGATTCCACTAGTCACTTGATGGGAATCGTTATTGTATTTATTATATATACTGTATGTTTATTTACTATTAAGTTACTGTATATTTTTACGATTTTTAGATGATATTGTGCCATTTTAGATATTTGAGATTAAACAGGTCTGTAAAATTATTTCAGATCTATACTTAATTTGAACATTTTTTTGTTCCATTGAAATAATTAATATATAGAGCTTATTTTAATCTTGCCATTTAACCTCAAGAAACAACTGAAGAACAAAAAGCTTATACAGAGAAACCTCTGTTTATAAACTGAAATGCATCTGTATTCTCTAACAAACTTTCTTTGACAGGTGTATCTGAACCAACATCAGAGGGTCATCCAATGGTGGCCCAACAGGCGCTGACCATCACAGAGGAACTAGTCCAGAGGGTGGAGGTTGTTTATGTCCTGGGCTTATTTTTGCTAGGGAAGCATAGAAAAAAGGTTGGTTGTAAATCCTCGCAGACTATTTAATGCGAGCAATTCGTGGAGGTGTTATTTATGGATTTGTTGTAAAATGCAGTACTTGTACTGATGGATATAACATGCTGGAGCTCAAGAGTCAATTAGATGGCAGGATTGAACCTACACACAGACAGGCTCATCAGTGGCTTTGGAACAGTTAAATTCAAAATTTGATGCTTAAAAACTGGGTTGACCTGTGGTTTTTAATGATTATAAAGGTCAAAGGTAATGCTTTATAGTTGATATAATTTAAAACTGAAATAGTTCAAATGGAAATAAAAAGAATTAAATAAATTACTGTAAAAAAAGCCTCATTTTTTTGAATACCTATACCTTTTTTTTTTTAAACTTACATAGGTGCAGAGAAAACTGGCTGAATTGAAGCTTGCATCAGGTTTGAGTGACTTATTCGACCAATTTATCTGGAAGTGTCAGGTGTAAGTGGAAACATGCAAAAGTTTTCTTTTAGTGTTATTTGAACTCTCACTGGTGTTAGCTAACATTGACTGTTTTGTCAGGGTTTCCCTTATTGTATTGCAGTTATATAAACGGTGCTGACAATTTTAGCCTTTTTTACATTAACAGAGGTCGCTCACAAACAAGGCATCGATTAAGAGGACACAATTCCTCGTGCGAGTGTAGTCCGGTAAGTTAATTATTAATAATTTAAATTTCATTTCATAATCGAAACCCCCTTTAAAAAAAATTGGTCCAGAAAATCTTTACTTCCTCGTAGTTTTGATTATTATAAACCTAGCATTATTTTACGTTCCTTTACTTTAAATAATGTGTTAAATTTGTGTCATTTACTTTCCAGGAGGTGGCACTCAAAATTCAGTTTTTACGGCTCGTGCATAGTTTCTGTGATCACTCAGAGTGAGTAATCTCTGCATTGTTATGACAATATTTATTTTTAGACTTTATTTTAATGGCTTAAAAACAACCATTTTGAACCTGTAAATTTTATGAATCCTTAATTGTTTTTGCCTAGCATCATGGATAATAAATTACCTTTTTTAATTCTTGACTGAAAATTTACTTTTTTACATTATGGATATTAGATAACCCTTTTTTTAATCCTCGACTGAAATATAATGACTTTTTCTCTGTTAATATGACCGAAACAATAATTTTGTTATAATTTAAAGATTATTCTGTCTTTTTTCCTTCCTCCAGTTTCAAGCATTTATTGTTGTCTAAAAGTGAACTTAATGAAGTGAAAAAAATTAATAGTAAGTAATTTTTTAACAGTATTTTAATAGTAGTCATTGTAATAATTACCTAGAAATTTCTCTTCTTGGCTTAGTTGGAAAGACATTTGCCCGTGTCGCGCTTAAACGATTGCAGAGTCTGGCTAATCGCATCTACCCATAGGCCCAGTATGGTTTCCGAAGTGGTCGTTTAACTATAGACATGATATTTTCGCTACACCAATTGCAGGAGAAGTGTCATTTACATTGCTTTCATTAGATACTTCGATGAAACAAGGGAGACTACTATTTTTTTTGTATCCAAAATGGGCGTCTGCGCCGAAAAATCCGAGTTTTTAATTTTCCGATGTGTGTTTCTATTTAATATTAAATTAGTTCTTTCCACATATATTTGAGTTCCGTTTCCGGGCTTATAATTTGGAAGACATCTTGGCCTACATATCTAGCCAGCTATTTTGCTTTTTTCAATCGACCTTTATTTTGAAAATTTTGGTATATATAAGGCATCTTCGCATACAAAATTGTTTGTGAAATAATGAGATAAGGCCCTTTTTGATTAAATCTGTATGAGCATTAGATATTGATCTATATATGTGCCAAGTTTCATTGATGTAGGTCGTGTCTCACGTTTGTTACGCTTGTTACAGTGACCCATATCACCATAAGGTGGCTCAGCCTAATTTCGACATGGCGTGGGCCACGCCCCCTTTTTAATGGCGGAAGTTGCCGATACTTAGGAAATATTTAATTATTACCATTTTGAAGACATTTAAACTGGAATGTTTTAATTTGAGCTTTAAAAACCCTGCAGAGTCCATATTATAAATGATCAGAATTTTCCCTGTGCAACACGTTGTCATTGGCAACCATTCACAGCCACGTGCATAACGGCTATATCGTAGTACTATCTCAGAGTTTCATTCATAAGAGTTTGCCATGTGCAAAAGCTATTAAACCATTGGTCAGGGAAAGCTTTTATTAATTATTCATGTGCCAAAGTTGAAAGTTTAAAATAAGTCGACGCTAAACAGTATTTTAGTGATAAGGGAATGCGTTGCCTTATATAAACTATATAGTCATTGCGCATGACGCGATCAGCGGAATGAGGTCACAGAATGTGGAGATGCAGTCCATGTTAAAAAGGACAAACCAAGTCGTACTTTAAAAATTCATAACTTTAAAACTACAACAGCTAAAAATATGATTTTGGTGTAATAATTCTGTAAAAAAATTAGCTCTATTCAACTGTGCCATTGGTTTATTTTTACAAAATGTTTACATTTTTGACCAAAGTATCTACTTTCATAGATCTGACCAAGGCATTCGACTTGGTAAGTTGGAGTGGCTTAGCAGTATTTTGCATAAAATAGGTTGACTTCACTACTGCTCACAATCATACAGTCATTTCACGAAAACATGCTCAGCTCAGTAACCCTCAATGGTGCTGTTTCTGAGGGACTCCCAATCAGCAGTGGAGTAAAACAAGGTTGTGTATTGGCAGGTACTGTGAAGACGGAGTGTACATTCAATCCAGGTCTGATTGTAGATAGGCTGTTCAATGCCGCCTTCCTTCGTGCTAAGACCAAGTTAACAAAGGTGCTAATTCGTGAACTGCTGTTCGCTGACGATGCTGCCTTAACTGCTGTTCTCTGATGATGCCGCCTTAACTGCTGTTCGCTGACAATGCCGCTTAAGCATTGCAGACAGAAGAAGGTCTTAAGTGGATAGTTAATTGCCTGTAATATACTTTGGACTGTCAATTAGTTTACAGAAAACAAATAATAATAATAAAGTTTATTTCAAAAACACGCTTCACCCCCAAAGGATCAAAGCGCATGATGTCATGATACAAGAAGCTCGATGGCAGGAGAAGGCGTCTAACACAGCGGTTTTGGAAGGTGCAAAAATTTGAAGCACATTCTCCACTCTTAGCAAGAGGCGCCTTCGCTGGTTAGGCCATGTAAGGAGAACGGAGAAAGGCAGTATCCAAAGGAACCGCTGTAGGGAGAGTTGGCAGAATGGGAAAGACTTATTGGACGGCCGCAGCTGCGATTTAAGGACATTTGCAAACAGAGCATGAGGGAAGCCAACATAGAAATCAAATGGGAAATCATTGCGGAGCACCGCTCCAGCTGGCGAACTGCAGTTTATAAAGGGGTAAAAAGACAGAAAGATGCGCGAAATAAAGTCCAGCTGGTGAGCAGCAGTTTATAAAGGAGTAAAAAGGACAGAAAGATGCGCGAAACAAAGTCCAGAAGGCGAGCAGCAGTTTATCCAGGTTACAAAAGAACATTATGGAAGGCCAAATTTAACCAGGAGTCAAGGTAGTAAGCCATTTTATGAAGTGTCCATAGCTACTCCATCGTCTTGTGAAACGGAGGGATGCCATATATTATAATAGCACTAATTTATTATGTTTTATTATTATATTGCCTTGTTGTTGTTTTTTTTATTCATCAAAGGTTTTTTATCATTTAATTATTTTTTTCTTTAGTTCGAGCTGGTGGTCTTACACTTCAAACTCTAGACACTATTAACAAGTGAGTAGTGATGATTCTTGCTTGCAAGAATTTTAATTACTAAGGATAAGCAAAAATTATTTTGTAAAACGGTTAATGACATGTCACATGAGCATTGTATTTGTTTGTTTGGATGAAAGGTTTTAGTTGCTGACCTCTTTGAGCAATTGTTTCCGTATTCAGCTTATCCTTCTGACCTAAATTAGACACTCAGCTTAGTTTGGTAACTATCAAGGCCTGACAAATTTTCCTTTGACAGATTAAAAAAATATTAAAAGATCTTAATTCTGTAAAGCATTATTTTCAAATATGATTTTTTGTTTAAATTTTTGTAAATCACAAAAAATAAATTTAATGAATGATAAAAAAATATAATAATAAAAATATAAGGATTTTGCCTTGAAAAATGTGCTTTTTTTTGTACCCTCTTTAATTTTCTTTGTTTACCTATAAATGTATTTTTTTTTTTTTAAATAATGTTTTATTGTGATACTTAAATATTTTGTTTCAATAGGCAACTCATGTGTCGAGGTTCCAGGGGCCTTCTTACAAAAATTGTGGAAGTGATGAAGAAGGAACCAACAACCTCGACCTTCAGGTTATGGTTTGTTTCGTTTGAATATTTTTTTAATTAAAAAAAAAATTTACTTGTTAAGCTTTCTTTAGAGTTCAATCTTAAATGTTTGACACCTATCTTGTGAGAAGGGATGTTAAATATTTATACTTTTTCAAGCAATTTATTAAGAAATATGCGGCAGGTTTCACCAAATGCATAATTATTCAGAAACTGCCAAAAGCTTAAAAAGGAAATCTCTCTTGCATCAGGTAAAGGACCTTAAGGAGCCAATACCACTCCCTGGAAATAGAGAAAAAAATTACTCATGTTCCAGAAAGTCCACCTTATGCTGCCCTCACTCTCCCTACCATACGTTTAATTTTGACCAATATGACGGTGGCAAACAACATCCCAGCACATGTAGAGAGCGGGCGGCTGCCCTTTGAGTCAATCGGGGTTACTACCCCTGTGAGTCTCCTATACCCATTTGGAGGGCCGCCAAGTGAGAAACTGTCAGGACTGCAGCATCAAACTTCAATGATTAGTTTGGTGCTGTCAGTAAGGCGCTGGAAAGGGTGCAGATGAGAGAAAACTTACAGTACAACCAGATGTTGTGATCTTCACTGATTCACTGTCTGCTCTGATGGGGTGAAAGAGTTGATTGATTTATTGAAGTGATGACCATATTCCTGACTTCTTGCAAGGACAAAGTTTGAGAACTTGGGATCATATTTAAATAAGATATTTGCATTTATGACTCTGTATTGGTGTAATCCTATTTTCTTTATTCAGGGTTCTCATCATTTGCTGCTTTAGGCATCTCTATAATCTTTAAATAATTTCCACCTGTTCACCATTTAAACACATCTTTATGAACAAAGTAAAATTCATTCATTCAGTTGCTTTTTTTAAGAGAGGCGGGTTGTTTTGCTTGAATTAGGCTGATCATTGGAGACGATGTAATAAATATACAGGGGCACCATGCTAATTAGCCTGAGGTCAGATCATGGCTAGGCTACATGAAGTGGGAATGTATTAAGTGGAACTAATTAATGATACCCTAAATCAGTGGTCGGCAAATCATGGCTCCCCTGCCGCATGCGGCTCTTCAGCGACTTGAGTATGGCTCTGCCAATCGGCCACAAATCGGTTTTGACTCCGAAAAATATGGTTCTTGACAGGTTCTTGAAAAGAAATATGGCTCTCAAAACAAATTTAATCGCCCTGCTTCTGATTTTCGGCTCTTTTGACTAATGAGTTTGCCGACCACTGCCCTAAATGGCTTTCAGCAACTATGGAATGTCAAAAGATAAGGAAATAGACCCAAATGGAACCACAAGGGTTGGAGAGACCTAAGTGTCCAGAAAAAACATGTCCCCCTGTAGAGTCTGACCAACTTGAACATTCTCTGAGATGTTTGTGACAGAACTTATTAAATATTCTGGAGTTTCACCAGCTGAACACAAAATTGTGAAAATTAAATGGAAATTTTGTGGAAAGGAAGTGAAACCTGATTTAACAGACATTGATGTGTTAAGCTACCATTCGGTTAGTTGATTCTCTTGCACATATGATCAACAGGTTTTGGTTAGCAAGAGCAGTGGAAAGCTACTTACGAGGGGACACATCATACTGTGATCAAATCTTTCTCATGAGGCGTGGTCTTCTAACAGTAATTAATTTTTTTTAAATATGTATTTATTGTCATAAACTTTGCAGGTGTTAAAATTAAGATGGTTGAAATTCATATTTTGATTTTATATAGATGTCTTGATAGATGTACAATTTTTAATTTAAATGACAAAGTTTTTATATTAAAAATTTTTATTAGGCTCTAATGAATTTGTATCTGGAAGCATTTAAAAATATTTATATTCTCATTTTTTTCCCATGTCCACTGAATGAAATTATTTTTGCAGCATGTTGCTGGCAACATAGTAGAGAATGAGATTCGCCACAAAGAGATACTGCAGAGCAGCTTTGATCTACTTGGAGAACTCATAAAATTCAATATCGTGGCTTTTAAAGCTTTTGATGCTATACTCACTACGGAAGAAAAGTTTGAGAAGTTTGTCACCATGGTTAATAGAAATCTTGTGGACTCAAATATGTTCATCCGGAGCTTGATTTTGTCACTAGAGCATTTTAGAGCGGAAGGATCTGAGAAAAGTAAAGATAATTGTAATTTGTTTTAAATTCTGGCTGGTGCTAAAGATTTCCTACTTTCCATTCACAATTTTATTTTTGACAAATATGATTACCTATCAAGATTGTGTGGCGGAAAGGAAAAAAATCATCTCCTGTTAAGCTAAAGGATGATATATTCACACAATTTGGTTAACTGTAATGGTGAATAAGATGAATTTATTAAAAGGCCATGGTTTTTATAGCACAAATGAATTTATTGTAAAATGGGACTTGTTTGTGAAGTGGGATAAAGATGACTCATGCAGTCAGCCACTAGGGGATAGTTACAGATCATAAACTGGCTCTGGCTGAATGATTGGGGCCAAAGTTCCAGAGGGGTCTACAAGTCAGAACTAAAGGCTTGGGGAAAAGGTCTTGGGCTATTTCATGTGTAACTATTTGGAAAATGTCTGGTAAAAAAAATAATATAGTAATATAGGTCTAAGTTATGGTACATCTAAAGAAACGCGTCAACACATTATGTTGAACCATGATCGTCACTTTTTCTAGCTCACGATGTTGTGTCTTTCCCTAGAGAGTTGAATATGTTAAAGTTTTAATGTTCTTTTTGCAATTTAATTTAAAGAAAAATACAAGAAACCTTTTTTTTTTTTTCTTTTAAATTTTAAAATGCATTGTTGCTTTTTTTTTTTTTAAAGGGGTGCAAGAATTATTTAAATAATATTTACGGGATGTGAAACTTCTAAAAAAAATTTATTTTTTTTTTTTTTTTTTTAAATTTTTAAATTGTTTTTTTTTTTTTTTTTTTTTAAAGGGGTGCAAGAATTAGTTAAATAATATTTACGGGATGTGAAACTTCTAAAAAAAATTTAGTGGGTGCAGAGTCAGGGAACACAAGTTAATTTTGCTACCAACTAAAACAGACATCTAATTAGGTAGTAGACCGATACACTAAAAACAACCATTTTAAGTTTAAGAAGATTTGAGATATGAAAAGTTCCATTGATCCCCCAACTAATTGTTGGCTAGACTGATATAATTTATTTTAAAAAATACTCTTTAACTTTTAAAATAATAAAAACAGAGTCAAGGAATGAAACAAATTCATCGCTCAACTTATATCCACAGCACTAAATTTTGTGGGATCTGCAGACGGTGAGAAAGGTGAAAAAAGAGACAGCAAGCTTGTAGGCTATATAGGAGATTTTTCACGGCAGCTTGAGTACCTCTATAAACTTATCAACATCATCAGTGTCCAGAACCTTACCCAGGAGAATGTCAGCTGCCTCAATACAACTCTAGTGTTTCTCATGTTTGCAAACAAACGCAACCAGCTGCCCAAGTATTTGCAGGCACTCAGGGATGAACAAGATGATGCCTTGGAAAATGTTAACGGATCCTCGAGTATTCTTCAAAATTTTAGGTGAGAGATTAAATTGTTAGAATTTATTATAACAAATATTGTTTAGTAATGTAACAAGTGTTTGAGATGGCAGGTCATGAAGATGCAGGTCGAGCTGTGTAGGATGACCTAAATAAAGCAGTGCCCTGCAACTGGTTGGCCACAAGATGAAGCTAGGTATGCCACCAACAATGCCCCCTCAAGAGGAGTAAAAGCAAATAGTTTATTTGTGTAGGCACATCACTAAGAAAAACCAAGCTGATACTAAAAGGAGATGGGTGGGTTATTAGCAAGCTGTCTGACTTTTTCAGTAAAATATCACAGAGTAAGTGAAAGTTAAAATAAGTCACACAGACCCAAAAATTTTAATAGTCCAACGAAAACAATGAGGAAAGAATGTGTTGACGTCATCAACGTAATTGAATTTAAAGAATCATAAGAACCGACTAATTCGGCTAGTCAACTAACACTGAATCAACATGACTTTGTATGGTCAATGTGGAGCAATACAATGTAATCTGATACCTTTTAGCATTCCATGCCTATATGGATGATAACAACAATATTCTGTTATTTAGTATAAATGTTCTACTTGCTCTTGTCAATTTCACATATATTTCATATGTTCAAATATAATTTTGCATGTTTTTCCTTGTGTTGGGCTATGGATCCCTTGGAAAGGGCTGCTTACTAACCAATCTGATGTTTTGTTACATTTGCTCTCACTTCCAGAGACCTATTGATATTCTGGCAAGATCATTATTTACACAAAGACAAAGATTGCAGTGCCTTGGAAAAGGTAAATAGAGCAATTTTAAAATTTAACAATTTTTTTAGTCAATCCATCTTAAAAGTTTGTACTGGAAATTCCTGTACTTATCTTAAAAGTGTTTTCATACATTTTGCTTTTTATTTGTTCTTGTTATTGGAATCATATATTCATATTTGAGGGTGGGGGTAGGCTGTTGGGAACAGAGTACAAGTAATGATAATATCTCTCATTTTGATGTCATCTTTTTAAAAAATGTTCTAGTTCATCATGGTTTGTTTTATCATTAGATATTCTACTACTATACATTGGTGAACGTTTAAAAATAAAATTTTGTTGTTTTGAATCAATTTATTATAAGGAGGTTAGGTTGATTTATTATTGAACACGAGAGTACACCCTACAGGATTTTTATGGGAAATAAATTATTTAAAAGATTTGGTTTCTTGACAGTGTTAGCCAAACTCACTGTTTTACATTGCTGCATTATCTTTTCATTTTTGATTTTACACTACTTCTGCACACCTGCTTTCTGTTCTCTCTTAATATTTGTGAGGGAGTTGTGTCCATCCTTTTTGCTTTCTTTCCTTTTACTTATTTAATCGGTAGAATATGTAAAATTGACCTTGAAGAAATCCATTCGGAGTAAATGGTGAATAATTGAACTTGGAAATAGCTATTTGAGATGCTATTTTGGTTTTTTCAAAGTGTCCAAAATTTTTGACTCATTTAGCTTTTGATTCCAAGCTTACCTCTCTGTTTCATGCAACAAACGGCACTCAAACACTGTTTCTAATGCATACTTAAAACAATACAATTTGTTGTTCTTTAGAGTCATAGATTATCTGCTTCTAAGGTTAATAGATAACCCTATCTGTTGCGAACCGATTCTCCAAATACTCTCCAAACAACACTCAATCACATTATACATTCAAGTCCTTAACTCTAACCTAAGCCGGAAAACCACTTAAAGCTATGTGTTTTTTTTTTTTAAATTTATTCTTCTAAGTAGACAAATTATATAAGAGCTTAGGCATGGCTTTAAAAAGAGTTTGGTTGGTCATAGTTCATTCCAACTGTATAACTGCCTTCTTTCAAATTAGTCTAGCTATTTCCTTTTTCTAGATATAAAGTGTGTGCACTTTCACTCAACAGAGCTCCAAATTTGGTTGGTCATAGTTCATTCCATCTGTATAACTGAAATCTTTCAAATTAGTCGTAGTTATTTCCTTTTTCTAGATATAAAGTGTGTGCACTTTCACTCAACAGAGCTCCAAATTTGGTTGGTCATAGTTCATTCCAACTGTATAAGTTATAACTGAATTCTTTCAAATTAGTCGTAGTTATTTCCCTTTCTAGATCTAAAGTGTGTGCACTTTCACTCAACAGAGCTCCAAATTTGGTTGGTCATAGTTCATTCCAACTGTATAACTGAATTCTTTCAAATTAGTCGTAGCTATTTCCTTTTTCTAGATATAAAGTGTGTGCACTTACACTCAACAGAGCTCCAAATTTGGTTGGTCATAGTTCATTCCAACTGTATAACTGAATTCTTTCAAATTAGTAGTAGTTATTTCCTTTTTCTATATATAAAGTGTGTGCACTTTCACTCAACAGAGCTCCAAATTTGGTTGGTCATAGTTCATTCCAACTGTATAACTGAATTCTTTCAAATTAGTCATAGTTATTTCCATTTCTATATATAAAGTGTGTGCACTTTCATTCCACAGAGTTCCAAAATCAGCTTTGCTTATTGGAAGATGACTGTCTCCATGCTGGTATCGGATGACAAGAGTCTGCCAACGTCGGTATCCTACTACATTAACCCCTTGCCAAGTGACAGGACCAATTAGCCACTGCGCCTTTCCTTCCATACATTGTAAATATGGTCTTTGTACATAACTCCGGGAATGAAAGCCGCTCTTGGTATTATTTAAGTCATTTTTTAAAAAATAAATCTTAATGTCAATGTTAAATTTTACTGTAAGGAAAGAATTCGAATGAGATTCCATTTGATCAGAATAGGACAGTTGGTGTCACGGCTATATTTCCTTCTGCAAGTTTAAAGAGCCATAAAAAAATATGTTATGTAAATATCTTAGAAAACATTGTAATGACCTGACCTAAATAAGTTCATGACCTCTCATGGGTTTGAAGAACACTATTGAAAATGTTTTGTTTATAATGACATAAGCCTTTATACAAGAGGCTGACATTACTGCCAGTGATGTCTCTTTGAAATGACACTCATTGCTTTGTTGCTCCATTATGGACTATGCAAAAATGGACATGAAGCTTCACCACGTTCTTAAATGTGAGGCTTGTCTAAAAATATTTAGTCTATATTGTTTGGAAACACTGTTACATCGCTTTCATCAGTGAATTGTAAATTCATTTCAGAATTTTAAAAAAATCAAGCCATATTTGCATATCCTCAGTAAGAGGAACAAATGAGATGGATTTTTAAATTAAAAAAAAAATATTCCATAAAAGATTAATAACCAAATGATAAAGGGAGTTAATTATAGAATAGATAATAAATTTTAATGACCTAGTTTTAAGTAGTTTTAATAGATGATTCTCAATCTTTATCAATCAAGAAGGTTACAGAAACTGTCTCTTGCACAATAGTTACAGTACGAAGATACATTTTAAATGAACTTCAAATATCCAGTTAACCATAAACATTTTGTGATTCCGTGAGAATGTCAAAACTCTGTTATTCTTTTAAGTTGTAGAAATGTACAACTGCACATCATGTATTCCCAAGTTGACCGAGTGGTGTGTAAGTGCTTGGAAGTTGTCTTTTTAAAAATGAATATTTAAAATTGTTTTTACAATGAATCTGAATTTCTGTATCACATGATGCAGCCAAAAATAACTAAAATCTTCAGTTTTAAATTGAAACAAGAAATGGTGAAGGGACAGACGTTTAATTGATTACCGTATTTATTGGCGTTTAACACGCACTTCATTTTAAGAAAGAAATTTCCGGAAAAAGAACTTAACATTATATCGGCGTATAACACGCACACATCATTTGCCCCCTATTTTCAGGGAGAAAAGGTGCGTGTTATACGCCGATAAAGACGGTATGTACATAAAGAATTTCTAATAGACACAAAGTTGCAGGAGGTTCATGGAAAATATACCTTATAGGATTTGTTTAAGATCCTGCAAAGACATATTTAACATTATTGCCTCTAATTCAATTGGGAGACAGATAGTGTGGACCACCACAGAATCTCATGGTCCCGAGTGGATGTTGAAACCCAGCACTTTGTGCTCAGATAAAATATCAAAGTTTGAATTGGGAAGCTTTTGATAAAATATCAAAAATATCTGTATTATAAAAGGGGGCTTGTTGCCATGAAGTCTCGTGTGTGATGAATCGGATGGTCTACAAGACGTCTGACCAAGTCCCCCCCTGCGTACAAACAAATCTGGGTGGGCCACATATCCTATTTAATTTGTAAAATTGTAAAAGTCATTGTTGTGGAATGAGTGGTGATATGGAAATAGAAGTGACTTTCAAGAAAAGTGCAAAGATAAATGTTACAGGTTTTGACGTTAGTGAAGAAAATGTATTTGGGGAAAAAAATTTTTTTTTTTAGTTATAAACCCTGACACATAGTTTGTTGCAAACTATCACATACATTAAGTACATCAAGTACAACCCTAAAGGAAAGCATTTTACAGTTCAATTATAATTTATTAACAAATCCCTTGCTTTTAAAAATATTTTTAGTTCATAATAGGCGCTTCTCTCCTTTCATTCTTTTTTTAAACTATCTGTTATTTTGCAAAGCTCATTACTGTTGACATGTCATACGAAACATATCAGTTGATATTGCATGTTTTATTCAGCCTAAGCATATAGAGAACTGTATTTAAATTGCATTGTTGTTACCAGCATATTTAGTCATTCCTCTCCTATTCAAATGGCATTGTAGATTTGATAAACAAATGGCTTAGTCGGTTTGGGTAAAATGGCAGAGTAGGTGTTGGTAAACCAATGGCTATGTAGGTTTTTGGATATAGGTTTCCTTTTTTTTTCATTTTGGGGGCCCCCCCCCCCCCCCCCCTTTATAGAAGCAAAGTGAACTTTGACATATTCTTATGAAGCCGTAGTACGAAATTCATATATCAAATACTTAACCCCTCGTACTTGATCAGATATTTTGATCTATTTCGTGAGAGCATGCACTTTATTTATTTTCTTGTTCATTTAAAGATATTTTCAATAGTACCCAGGCTTCCCAGCAAGGATGACCTTGTTTCTAAATTAAATGTTCGTTACCTCAAACTGCACATTTAGGGTTGGGATAATACTTATCTCCACACCGGGTACATTTGCTTAAGCTCAGTTTATGAGCTGCATTAAGATTAATGGAAAATTTTCAAAATTAGGAAAAATAGTAAAAGGTTGTTGGTTTTTTTTTGGCTGAGCACTTGAGCTAAAAGTTGAGAATTATTTCACGACAGCCCTTGGGTATTTTTGGGGCACCTCGGTTGAAAATCACTGCTCTTATATCTGGAGGGAAAAACCTCAACTTGCTGTTGTCAAAAATTTATTTTAATTTTTACTCAAATTTGAGGCATATCTGGGCTGTTAAGATATTTTTTTGTTACACAAGTTCTGGAATTTGTATCACTTTAAATAGACAATTAATGTGATCACAAGATGCTATGATAAAGCTTTACTTTGCATGTGTGCAAAAGCTGCAACTGTCACATCAGGAGTGAGGGATTTTTTTTTCCTAATGGGTAAAGGTTTATGTTAACTGTCTGCTTTTAAAAAACATTGCAAATATGTTTCCTGTAATATAGGCTGGGTCATGATATTAGTGGAGAAAAAAAAATAAGGTAGGTGTCTTTCTACAGAGGCTTTGTAAATAATTTATTGTTAATGTGCATACTTATTAACCATTTGTGTAGAGTGGTACAAGGTAGTATTTATTCTTAATGGGCAGTGAATGTAAGTTTGTAATTTATAATTATAAATTTACTAAATTTTTTTCAGATGGGGGGGGGGGGCTGTCCCTTTAGTTGGGTGATGTCATACAATCTTATTTCAAGAAAACGTTAATACTTTATTTAGTTTAAGCGTGGTTGTTTTGTTGTTTTTTTTTTGAGGGGGGGGGGGGGGGGGCTGTCCCTTTAGTTGGGTGATGTCATATAATCTTATTTCAAGAAAACGTTAATACTTTATTTAGGTTAAGCGTGGTTGTTTTGTTGTTTTTTTTTGACAGCCTCTATTCAGTGAGTTTGTTATAAAAATTTGTGTTCAATATTTGTAGGGGAAAATATTCGATTCTAAGCAACCCAAACAATGTTTATTTGACATCACTAGCAGGCACCACAACAGATGATAAATTTTAAGGTATACACATAAATAACTATAACTCATAGTGACGTTTGTTAGGCATCTAGAAGTAAATAGGCTAAAAGGGATATAAAATAAATCAAGTTTGAAGCTGTCATTTAAAGAAGAAATCGAATCAGAACCTGACTAGCCCAGACTAACAACTATTATTTTTTTAGAATTTTGAGATATGGACAAGTATGTTTTTCTTGATGCTGTGACTTTACTTGAACTATATGAATTGTACCTTACAGTACATTGCGATTGTTACTTTTGAGTGATAGAAATTGGTGTATAAACTGTTGAAGGATAATGAATGGCCTCATGAATTTAATTTTTATATTTTATGAATGAATCGTGGTCTTAGTAAATGTCTGCTTACAACTCATTGCATGTATAGATGTCCGCAATATTATTATGTATGACTTTTTTTTTATATAGACACACATCACGTGATTGGATGGTTGAATAATTATATGATGAAATATTTGAAAAAAATATTTAACAAGGTAAGGCAATAACTGAAGAATAACTTACTTTTAAAAAAAAAAAAATTTCTGCAAACAACTTATGACAATGAAATCAGGACTGGTGATGCTGAAACTGTCTTTTTATCTGAATATTTGTATACCATCATGTATGGACTGCTCAAGTAGTGCATGATGGGAATGATGCTCCATTTAATCTGTAAAAGTAGTGGGTTATTTCCCTCTGACAATTTTGTTTATTAGCTGCTTATTCATTCCAGGCACCATCATGGCATTCTGAATAGGTATCATGCAGTGTTGGAGTTTTTGTGTTCAAAGCTCTCAACTGTTCACCAGGTTAATTATAATCAAGTTAATTCCCCGCTAAGGGGTTTTTATACAAGGATAAATATGGCCTCAGTTTGTAATTTCGTTAAAAAAAAAACATTTTAAATGAACACTATTTTTTCATTCCTTGGGAGGTTCATATTATTTTTTTGATATATAACTAATTTAGCTTGTTGCAGTTCAGTGACTTTCAACATTTGGAATGGTTGGATATTATAACATATTTCTGTTTGAACCATTTGTGTGTAGCTTTTTTTGTATATAAATTGTATAGTTTCAAATTTTTAACAAATAATGTACATCCTTTAAAAGTTGTTACTAGGTATTTACTTTATTTTTTGTATGTAAATATACATTTTTGAATTATTTTATAACTTAATGTAATTTGCTATTACCGCAAATAATAAAGGTTGGGGTTAAAAGTGGCATTGGTGCATTTGAGATGAACATTTATCTCCAGTGGTTGAAAGGCTTTCCGTGAAGTCATTTGAGAAAATCAATCCCGTTATAGAATATCGTGTAGGGGGTTGGTAATCACTGTAGAGTCAGATCTACGTTATTAACTAAAGAAGTCTTATCAAATTTTTGTTATACTGATTCCAGCACAAAAACTGTCAGTGTCGTCTCTAATTTTTAACCCTGTAATTAAATTATTTTGAAAAATTAAGTTAATCATGTTATCAAGTCAGATAAACTGAATGGATGAATAGTTTTATTTTTTTTTTTTTTTTTTGCTCATGAAACCGATACCATTAAATAAGCAATTTTTTATTTTTTTTTTTTTTTTTAATTTTTTTTTTTGTAAAAATTTTTTTTTTTTTTTTTTTTTTTTTTTCTTTTTAAATCATTTTCATTTTATAAACAATTTTTTTTTTTTTTTTTTTTTTTTTAAGGTTTTATTTAGGAAAAAAATTGGAAATAAATTTCAGACAACCTGTACCATTTTGAGGCCAGTGCATGATGACAAACTTTAATAAAACAGTCTTAGACTAAAGAATGACAAAAAAATTAATATCATAGTGATCAGATAAATCAAGTTTACTTTAGCTTCAATCAGCAGGGGAAAAAAATACATTGGGTATAATGAAATGAGAAGATCAACTTTAGATTTTTGTTTAAAAACTACTGCAGTCAAATCCATTATTCCAAGTATGTAATGACTGCCCAGACTTACCAGCCTCAAGACATTCAAAGCTTCATCAAAAACCAATACCCTAATTTCAGATATAACATTAAAAAAAATTGGATGCTCTTGTAAGTGGTGTGGACCATTCATGAAAAATGACAAAGTTTCATGTTTGGGGAAAATGATGTCATTAATGCTCAATTCTCATCATTGTTCAGTGCAAGCAATGAAAAGGTTTTAAAAATGTCTGAAGTATTTAAATTGGATGTATTTTTTTTTATAGTAAATATAAAAAATCGTTTCACAATCTCAATATTAAAACAATATAGATTTTTTTATAATAATTTTCACCCATCATTTAGCATGTACCGGTTTGGTTTGCTATTCTTTTCAGTTTACAAATTTTTTTACATACCTGGTACATACATATAACTTAATTTTTTATCTGATAAAAGACATTTTAAAAAAATGTGTAGACCTTTTCTTCCACTTAATGAGTTTTCAAATGAATATTTTTATTACTGTCATTTACAAATGCATTTTTTGTGATGTGATCTAAACAGTAACCATGAAAGGTGGGTTTGCATAATGTGACTTTTAGTGAGACTGAAATAGGACCTGTTAATCTCTAGAAATAAAGAGAATTTGTTGTTATTGATTCTTATTGTTTATGATTTGAATATATAAACTTTAAACATGAAAGCAATGTTTCGGCATATAGGAAGAAGTTAAACTGACAGTGATTCATAAAATCAAGGGGGAGATTACATCTCAGTTTAAGTGTATTAGTTTTAACCTCACTGGGTAAATTTACTTTAATTTTAAGTAAAAAGTCAGTCATGTGGGCATTAGACTGAATTATTTATAACTTATAAAGATATATTGGGGTGTGATCAAAGAATTACCAAAGCCAGTTAGTTGTGGCAAAAATAATCAAATTTGGCCTAGATAAGAAACCTTGTGTCATAGATTAGTAATGTAGACATATCCACAGTTCCATAGGATGGCATAAATTGTGTATGGATTTGTCTTCTTTCATAGATTTTTTTTTTTTAGGCAATTGTTTTGACAATGTGCAGTTACCCCTATCATCATTGTGGGGATTTGTGATCTGGATTATAATTATTTTGTGATGACTTTAATTGATGTCCTTTGTTCAACACAAATTTGTTATAAGTTATAATAATGATAAAAGATTTGTAAACATTATTTTTTAAAGTTTTCTGCAATCACTGTCTGATAAAATGTGTGTCCATGAAAGTTTATTTGCATTTTACTTGGGTTTACATTGAGTGTTAGTTAATTTTTACTTCAGATACCATCAATTGTATAAATGTTTTTCCAGTAATAACTTTTCCTTTCAAGTTATTTACAGAGGTGGATTTGAGTCAAATAAGAAATGATTTATCAACTATTGCAACAGAGAAAGTAAATTATAATCATAAAATATATTTATAGAGGCAGCCTCTTCTTGACTGGCATCCTAATTCCTAAAGGAAAGCTGTTATTCATTCTTACATACAGATGTTGATTATGTTCTAGAGGGCACGGCTGTATTATCCCAAATAACATTTAAACAAATACTTTATTTTAAATGATGGCTTTCTGTAGTGGAAACAGAACACTCCTCTATCATGCATATGACACCTCCAACCTGCATACGCTCACCAGTTTATTAGGAGAGCTTTCAATAAGTCATTTGATGAAATGTTATGCAAATGGGTAACAATAATAAAAGTTTGAGAGTTAAGGGCTCAGAATTTTCACTGCTGTTTTATTTTTTATTAGCTTCAGGCAAGTGATAACTTTTTATGTAACAATGTCTTGTTGTTTTTCTTAAATGTGTATAAATTTTTATGAGTGGCACTAATTATTGTATTTAAATGACTTATGTTCCTTGTACATTTTATGCTTGTGAACAACAAAAATAAATATATAATATTTAAAAAATATATATATTTGGCTATATATTTGTCACTTAGGAGATATCCTACTGCAAAGATCACTAAAATCAGAAAAGGAAATAGAGATGGATTGGGAACCAAAATTTTGTTTAAATGCTAGAGGGCCTTTTTCACCGAGTCCACAAGGCAATATCAATATATAGGAAGATCACAGAACACATGGAGAAAGGAGCTTGATAGAGAAATGGAAATGGCACTCAGTGGATGGAATGAGATGAGTTATTCAGAATAGAGAAGTATGGAAAGAATTTGTCAATGGCCAATGCGCAACTAGTAACAAAGAAGAAATTAAGAATGCAAAACTTTTAAGAAAAAATGTAGACTTTTATAAAACTATGCATCATAATAATAATGATGCAAATAATTAATTAATAAGAGGAGCTATTTCTATTAATGATGTCTATATTTTAATTTGAACAATTGTGATAGGATTTCTCTGAGCATTTTGCTATTAAATTAGTTAAGGTTATAAAAATGAGAGTTTTGTTTTAAAAAAAAAAAGTTCAGATGTGGTTTTATCTTTATTAATTATTTATCATCAATCTTTGTAGATGTCCATGACTTCAATAAGCGGACATTGTAAGTAAGTAATGAGGTAATCCAGTTGTTGTTGTTTTTGGGCCTATTTTTAAATAACTTGAAAAAAATTAAACAAATAATTAATACTAGGGATTACATTTATTGAATAAATATTTACATAATACTAAAATGAAGGTGAATGTGATAAAATAAAAGCAAAATATAATATGTAAAAATGTTGAGTATTAATTACTATCTGACTTCAGTTTTAAAAATTTAACAACTTATCTCCACAGCCCTTCTTTAATGTCAATCCTCTGTAGATCCAACAATGCTGTAGCAACAATCACAAAAACCATCCATATAGTTGCCAGTAGAGTTTATTTAGACCTTAGGAAATAATGACAAGTTTATCAAACCTTTACACCATGCAGTTCATTACACCAATACAAGATTGAATTATGTGTGGTATGAATTCACTCCTGTATGAAAAAACTCCTGTTTTTTTAAAAAAAAAAGGAGATCCTTCAGAATTGATAAATTGCTTTTTAAATTAGCTTACTGCAATCCTTTGTTTATTTTTAATGTCAGAGTTGATTTGCTTAACTGCATAGATTTATTTATTAAGAATTCTTTTTTTAAATTACACACCTTTTCAAATTAATTATTTTTTGACACACATAAGCTTGAACTTGATTAACTCATTTTTCACTTATAAAAGTGTAAACATGAATACAGGTGTTAGATGAAAAATAAAGTTAAGCAGTGATAAATGTTTGATTAAATAAAAACACAGTTTTGGTATGGATGCTGACGTCTTGTCTACATTAATTTAATAAAAAAATACATTTACATTCAAGTTCAAGCATAGCAAGAAAATATCTACATCCAAAGTATAGGACCTATTCAATTTAAAATTGGACAAATGATATTAAAATATAATTATTGCAAATAAAAAATAAATGAACCATGACTGAACGAGGTATAGTAAAAAAAAAAAAAAATGTTTCAAGACTAGGCATATTTATGAAATCTGGCACCAATATGAATATATATTTGGAAAATATAAATAAATAGTGAAAAATAGTTTCAGCTAAATGCCTTCTTCAGCAAACAAGACACAACAAGAAATAACAAATAATTAGAAATTAAAAATGTGTGTTTGAAGATCCCAATGTTGCTCTCTGTTTCTGAAAGGTTAAAACATTTCTGTTTTTCTCAACTTACTTCCAGTCAATAATTAATTGTTTAACATAATTTATCAGAGGTATGGTTTAAAGTAATAGAAAGGGCCATATATATATATATATATGGGTGTCTCTTCAGATCTTTAAGAATACAATTTTCAATAAATTATCACAACATGAAGAAAACTTTAAAAATACATATTTTGGAACATATTAAATGCTCTAAAAAGACTAATTTCCTAACAAGAAAAATGGGATAAAACAAATAAATAACAGCTATTACAATAATAAGCTATGACTCCAAGGAAACAAAGGAGGTGTAACCATTAGGGGACTTATTGCTTATGTGAAATAAATCATGACGATAGTTCTTACTAATCTTAATCAAGAGGCTAGATAAGATTTAAACAAACATAAACTCATACAAAAAAGATCAATAAAATATATTCTGTTGTCAATTTGATGAGCTCATCCTTATTGGGACTTGTGTAATAATACTTTACAGGACTGAGTCAGAATAGTACATTAATGGCCAGAACATTACAAATTTAGAATCAAAATAATTCACAACAAATGTAAAACAAAAGTCCATGTTGTAAAAAATTGGTTCCAACTCTAGTGATCAGTTTCTGTATAACAGGTGCACTTTTGGGTTTATCACCTTTATAAAACTTTCACAACATTCCAAAATTTAGACCTTTTTATAATTTATTAAGACTTATTTATTCATCAATTTTATCCCCTTTTATGCAAAGCCATTGTTTGCCATTTTTTTTTACTTTTGGGCAACACAAGACAAGTAGACCATAAGGAGTAAAATAATGTGTTGGCTTGAAAAAGAATCAAGCAAACATAAAGATGTACAGATTAATGCAATGATGAAATGACAAGTTATTCAAGAAAAAACAAACTTGAATTTGAATTCTATCAATAATTGAAATAAAAAAAAATTTGAATCATCTAATACTATCATAAGCTATTCAAACAGTTATTAATACAAAGCAATGTGGAGATAATAGTTGTTCTTCAATATGTTAGATTCTGGCATTTGTTATAAAAGCTGAAATTTCAATTTTAAATGCTTACTAATATAATAAACCCTGCAAACAATCATTTAAGTTTTTTTTTTTTTTATATTTAAAAATTACAACAAATAATTAAAGAAGTATTTCCCATCTTGGGGAGTAAGCAATTTGAATTTTAGGTTTAGTCTGTGAGATTGGAAATCAATTTACATAAACATGTAACGATATCCAACCACATCTAATGATTCAAAAGCTTACTTCGTTAGGTTTAAATTCAAATATTCAAGCGTGGATACTGAACTTTTTAACAAATCGGCCACAATATGTCAAGGTGAATGAACAAATATCATTAACTAAAGAAATACGTAACGGAACTCCACAAGATTGCGTTCACCCCTGTCCTCTATACAACATATACCAAGCAAGTCTGTTCCAATCATTAAATTTGCTGATGATATCACCATCATTGGCTTAATATGTGAAGGGGAAAGCTTTTACCGCAACTTAGATACAAGCTTTATCAGTTGGTGCGATGACAATTTTCTTCACTTGAATGTCTCAAAAACTAAAGAAATTATAGTCCATTTCCAGAAGGGAAAATCTCCCAATCACAGATTTCTCAATAAATATTCACAGTAATGAGACTTAGTGTCACCATTATTTTTTTTTAATGTTTGTACTTTAAGTGCGAAGATGACCAAGGCTTTGACTTGAGTAGTAGACTTGACTTGAGTAGCAGCCTTGACTTGAGCTGTATTTTGTTTTAAAGTAAGGGAGAGTTACTCAATTCATCAGCCTCACTCTCTCATCCGTGCCTAGTTGTTCCAATGGCTGGACTTAAAATCAAGATGACTAGACCAGGATGCAGTGGATGACCAGCAGTGTTTCTTGAGTCTCACTAGGCTCTTTTGCATTCCACATTGCAGGAGTTGTCAGAATTTAACCGTGTCAACATCATAGCACTTACGGGACCCCATCTCCGGGTTTAATTTCAGAGTTTGCCTTTTTTGATTTTCTAGGCTGAGGAATGAACTCTAGTCCACAAGCTTGGCATTGCCTCAGTTTAAACCATTCTACCACCCAGCACCATTAATAATAAGTTTGACATGGCACGAACACAGCCAAATTCTGTATAAAAAATAGTCAACCAAAGACTTTTCTGTCTAAAAACATTGTACAATTTCAGTGTAAACTAACAATTTATTAACTTATTCTACGGTCCAACACTTGGAACAATACTAAACTTCATCATTACCTGCTGGTGTGTGAATCCATCATATGACATCAAACACCCACTAAATAGACTGATAAAGAAAGTTAGTAATATCCACTCAAACTAAACAAAATTCACATGAAGAACTATTTGAAGAGAAATGCTGTTGTAAAACTGTTTAAAAATTTGGATGATACATCAAAATCTCTTCATCACAAATACCTAAGATCAGCTAGATCAGGGTGAAATCTATCTTTTAGAAGTTAGGACTGAAAGATATAAAAATTATTTTGTTCCATAGTCCGTACAAATTTACCAGCATGCTCTCCATTCCGTTACCAAATCTAAACAATCACTTATTAAGTCATTATTGTAAATATAGGAGTTAACTGATGGCTGATTTCTATGTTAGAGAAATACTTTAGAGTCTTGTGTTCAAATTGTTATAATTGTAAAATGTAGTCTTGGTTAAAATATGTATTTATTTTGTGCTAAAAAAGAAAAAGCACAAACAATATGATCAAAAAACATTTCCATTTATTGATCAATAAGAATATTACCTTACCTTATATATTTACATTTCTAATTGTATTTCCAAAACAAAAATAATTATTGATTTTATTTTGAAAATGATTCAAAATATATAAGTACAGAATGCTGATTTAATTATATATTTTCCCATAAGTCAATTAATTGCTAACAAATGTCCTTGTAAGAAAATCTTTATTTTATGGCTTGAACCCTTATTTCATTTGATTGTTATCTAAACTGTTCCATCATTAAACATTAGTTACTTGGGGCTCCTGTCAGTGTATGGATTATGCATATTTTAACATACATTTAATTACAATTAAATCCATCAACATTAAACATGAATAAGAGTAACAGTTTACTAATGAACAACAGTTTCTCTTTACTCGACACATCAAAAGGCCAGATATAAAAAAAGTATCACAGCAACTCAATCAAAACTTCCGAAACTGCCAAAACTTCCGCAGCTGCCAAAGCTCCCCATGGAGCTCAGAGAACTCCAGCTGCCCCATCGTCCTAATCCCCAGCCTCCTCCTAGCATCCGTGAAGCTCCATACCCAAGCAGTGCTCCTCCTGCGACACCTTTTCAAACAAATTTTATATACATAGAGCTGTATTTATTGACAACAGAAACTATGTAACTTAAGTTACATTTAAATAATAGAGGAGATCCATCATAAAAGAATATGTTTAAATAAAGGAAATGATTAAGGCATACCTGAAATAGGAATTATGGTGGGGAAGTGAATGAGGGAAGAAAGAATGATGATAAAGATTCTGAATTTGATAGTTCTGATCAATACATTGATCGTGGGCCCTTAATATATAGAAGAAGTAGTTTTTAAATAATGAAAGAGCCCAGGCAGATTAAATTTAACTTATTTAAGGCGGTCTAAGAGTTGTAAAAAACTAAAGTATATGTAAGAATATTACAGCCAGTTTTATTTAATCCAATCTATTCATTTGTGTGCAGTGAAACCATCAGATGATTAGATCAGTGGTACACATTTAATTAATTTAAGACAATGTGAACATTATTTTTAAACATTGAGTTTTGTGAATACTTGTTTAAAACTCACCTGCCACCATTTTTCCAGTATTGCTACCCAAAATTCCTCCCTTCTTTCTGTGCTGCTGATAAACCACTGGCTGCTGTTGGTACACAGCTTGGGGCTGGTAGCCATATCCTTGTTGTGGCTGATGGTAACCTCCTGAAGGCAGCAGAAAAAAAAATTAAAGTTTAGTGAAGTGACTCTAAGACATTCAGTAGAGAGAACAAAGAGCGATCTCTGCACTGATTGACACAGACTTCAGAATGCTCAAACCAATGCTGTTTGAAAATAAATACAACACAGAGTGTAATAAAAGTAATAAAAGAAAATCAAACTTTCCGAAACATAAGATATTAGCATCAGAGATCATGATAGTTTAAATGGAATTATTGAAAACCCCATTCCAGTTTTTCTTGAGAATCCATTTTCAGCGGACAACTTATAAGTTCATATTCTTTTCTGGTGCTACTAATAGATGAAAATTTTTGTGATTCATTCAACATTATGACTGAGCAGAGTGCACTGGATTAACAACTTTTCCATTTGTCAATTAAATAAAATATTACCATTTATTATACCAAGTAACAATACATTAACTGTGGCAGATAATTTAATGCAGTGGTTAGTGAGCATGAGTTAGTCTTTCACCAACACCGAGTTAATCAAAAGAAATGTGAAATGCAGCAGGCTTCAAGTGCTGGCTACACCTGGGATACAGGCAGGTCAACTTTAATTATTATTATTCTCATACAAATATAATTTGTGTGGGAATTCAACTTCTGATATTAAACACCGCATAAACCAACTAATCAAGAAAGCTAGGAACATAACACAAACTAAACATCCTTTACTTGAAGAACTATTTGAAGAAAGATGTTTTTGTAAAACTAAACACATTTTGGATGATACATCCCACCCTCTTCATCACAGATACTTAGGATCGGGCCGTTCGGGACGAATTCTTTCTATCAGGGCGAAGACTGACAGATATAAAAATTCTTTTGTTCCCCAATCTGTACGAATTTACCGGAATGCTTCCTCTGAAGTCACACATCTGAATAAGATCTAATAAGTCGCCGATTTTGCTAAGAGCACTCACTGAATGGCTGTTTGAAATAATTTATAATAAATGTCTTGTGTTCAAATTGTTTTATTTTTTAGCTGAAAATGTATAATGCAATGAAAAAACTTTTCCATTTATTTGGATCAATAAAAGAATCTTATCTTATCTTAATATTATTTAAATTACATTAAAACATGCATTTGATTTATGGCTATCCCATTTTTACTTCCTCCCAGTATAAAACTTGGTCATGAATCAGGACTGGGTGTGTTTATTAACCTACATTGACAATCATCTTTCGTTCATTAAAAAAAAAATTCTAAATTTTACAGAATTATTGAAATTTCAGCTCCTTGGGTAGTTATTGGGGGAAACGAATTACACCCCTTAAGTTGCCAGAAGTTGTCATTACAACAATGGCATCACAGTTTGAGTTTAAATATTTTTTTTAATGCAATTGTGGCATTAAGTAAAATTATTTTCAAACTATTGTAGCGATGCAAGTCTGTCATGAAAAATTTAGCAATTTCATTGATTTACTTTGATGGTGGGCACTGGGTACAAATTTTGTTAGAACTGTGATCTGCAGCCTTCACCATCATATCCAGTTCCAGTGATCAGATCTTAGTAAAGAATATAAGAACAGGGGACCTAAACAAGATGCAGAGCCCTGATATCTCGAGCACAAAAGGCAGCCAAAATTGCCACTTAACCTCAGTTATCTCGATCCGGAAAAGTGGCACCACACATGTGCCTTGTGTTGTTAGCAAACATGCATGTACATTTTTATAGCATGCCGATCGCTTCATCAAACAAATTGCGATAACGCTGTTGTGTAAAAAAAAAAACTCCAAAGACACGTGCATGTAAATCTCATATATAAACGCACATTGTATTTATAACAAAATTTCAAGCACATGTTAATATATTGCCCCCATATTGGTCTTTATTTATCTCGATCATCGGTTATCTTGCCACTTTTTGGCAAACCCCGAGGCCATTGAAATAACCAGGTTCTATTGTATTTGTGTAGATAATTGAATTTAAATTTGGACCAATCTATAATCAATTGGAGAGCATCAAAATTTATGCGTCACATGATCTTGTTGTATTCTTACAAATACTATATTTTAAGTTGCTACTAAATAGTAATGTTAATGTTACATTTTTATTTAAACTATTTATTTTGTTAAACTACATCATAAATAAATGCAATGTTTTTAAAACATCACACATAAAGGCAAATATAATAATTATCCTTCCCAAATATGTGCAACTCTTACCAGATGCACAAAGTCACAAAGAGAAAAAGTACTAGTTTGTAGAAAAGGTCTAATTCAATTTTTATATATTTTATATGAATGTCGAAGAATTATACTACTGGTGACAACTACATTTTAAAAGTTGATGACATTAAGCAGTTAAAAACCTGCCCTACATTAAAAATTGATCTCATTTGGTGAAGAGACAGAAATTGAACACAAATGACCAATGTTTGATACAATAACTAGATCAAAATATTTTCATATAGGCTTTTAGTACCGGTAGTTAAATTTCATATTGTCCATGTAAAGGATGCAATTTTCTGCATATTGTAATTTTAAAATGGGGGTGCAGTGTTGTAAAAGATAATAAAATATATAGGCCTAAGGTGAATAATAGGCAAAAATATTGGGTGTTAGAGTTTCATTGGTCCCATTATTTCACTAATTTTTATCGAAAGGAACCATATACTTCTCTTTAAATTTCCTTGTTTTTTTTTTTTTAAATTATAAATTTGCATTATTTATTTAACACATTTTTCCCCGGGATGGGGTCACTTGACTTGCTCTGGGGGTAGTACTCCCACCCCCTGAGAGATGACTGAAAGAAAAATCAATGGCTTGGTATTTAATTTGAGAGTTCACTACTATTAACATTAGTACTGAAAAAATTTACATTTAAAAAAAAATTTTGTGACTATTCTATACAAATATTTACATTCTGTCTTTAGAATATTTGTGACATTATTTTTAAACTCTTCTTTTTTTAGTCCATTGTTAGAACCAGAACAAAATTTTTGTGCGGGATACTCGCTCTACAACCTTTGAAAACAAAACAAAAAATTGTAAGTATATACATAAACCAAGTCTGCAAATTCAATGCTCCAGTAAAAATTTTACATGAATATTTAGTCAAATTTATAACAGTTATTCCATAGTGATTGAGTTTGGTGTTACTTGAAGGTTTTGGCATAATACATCAAATCAGTTTCTATCATTTCCTCGAAAAAACACACATGGCAATCAGTTGTAATAATTTCATCCGAGATTCATAAAAAACTCTTAATTCATCTGTTTTCAAATGCTGTTCTGTGGACACTTGATTCCCACAAAGGCCTCACGGTCTCACAGAGTTTGTTGTAAACTTCACTTTAAGATAAGCCCACTATAAATAGTCAGTCAATGTGCAAAGCTTCTAAACTCAGACTGGACAAAAAATATTATGCCTGGCATTCTAATATAAAAGCAACAGTTTCTAACAAACTGAATGAGTTAGAAATAAACATAAAGCGAGATCTCATAATGTCTAAGCAAATGCAAGGGTAGCTCCTGCGTGTATACCTGGTGGGATGTACTGATTGGGTGCCATAGGATATCCGTAGGGTGATCGCACTTGATGATTGAACAGATGAAAAACAAAAATATGCAACAGAAAATCAACAGAATCATACCAAAAAAAACAAAATAAAAATGAAAAAAAGAAGAAAAATTTACAATCGTTATGCAAAGTATCTTTAATGTCCGTCTGTCAGTTATACACTAAAAAAAAAGTAACAGTAATCAGAAAAGCTCAAAAGACAAGGTCATTTTTTTTTTACACCTAGTAAACATTTTTTTTTTAATTTTTTTTTTGGAATGTGATTGCAATTTGCATTACATGGTATATACCTTTAATAGGGAAAGAATTGGAAGTAATCCTTGTTTATGCATCAACCAGTGTTAAGTGCTTAATGTCATCAGTCCTCTTGGGATAAACATGTACAATAATGACACTAATGAGTTCTTTTTTTCCTTGTCAAATATTTTTAGTCATTTTTTATTCTATATACATTAGTCTTTTATATTCATTTTACTTATTTTAAATTTATTTATTTATTTTTTCAAGTATTTAACACTAAATTTAGTATTTTTAAAATATATTTTTGGTATGTATTTTGTAACAAATTAATTGGATTTACATTGATTCATATGGAAATAATTGACTCAATTTTCATTGGTTTTGTATTTCCCTAATTGTTTTCAGGCAGATCATCAACAAGAACCAAGTGAACACTGTAAATTGTTGTGATGATCAAAGAAAAAAAATGTGGAATAAAACAGGGCGGCAATAGTGGTGAAATCATCAAACAATTAAATATTTAACCAATAAAATTTCATTACTCAACCCTCAATTCCACCAAAGCTGAGAAATGTGTTCCTTGATTAGGAGCGTAACCACTGATATACAGTTTCTTATGAGCAGTTAGGAATTCCTATTTTTTTATGACATTAAATTTTGTAACTTTCTACAACATGGCCTTCAGATAAGTTTTCTTCCTAATTGAAATTACAAAAGGTTCAAATTTAATATCAGTTACTTACCAGGAGGTTGCTGATAGTTCTGTTGTTGGGGATAGCCTGGTGGGATGTAAGAATCAATACATCAAATCATATTATACTTCAATGCAATAACTTAATCATAAAATGATAAAGTAATGCAATATTTTGCTTTGTGACAAAATTAGAATAATTAAGATTGAGTCTTCAAAATGTTTAAAAAATGTACGTCTTTGCACTCATGGGAAAAATTATTTCAATGTTTATTAATGGCCACATGTGATCGTTTGCTATGTATTTATTTCTTACCTGGATTAGGAGATGGTTGAGGATAGTACCCTTGCTGTGGATAGTAACCTATTGGAATTAAACAAAAAACTTAGTTTTTCACTGCAAAGCTTTTCTGAACATCTTTTAACATGAGGATTGTAAAAACAACACCCTGACTAGCTTACCCACTAAGACTTTAAATTTTGTTTTCTCTAAATTTAAATACATCTATTTTAAGTTATTGTACATATCATTCATTATGGATCTGCATTATGCTGGTGGCTATGCTTTTTCTTGCTGTGTCTTGAAACATTAACTACATGGAAAAGTTAAATCTAAGAACCGCCAAAGTTAATTAGATTTAAATGTACCCCAGCACTAAGCTGAGCACTAAATTTTCTTCTAGAGTAAATTGAGACACCAACAATTTTGTAAATAAAACAATATATGTTAAGCTTTAATTATGATTATACAAAATAAAAATTCAAACATTTCAGCCATTGTCCTCATCAGTACAACAAACACACATTAATTATCAATTAAATTTACAGTATATAACTATATATATATATCCTCCATATACCTAAAAAATCAAAGAAAAGAATGAGAATGGGCACAAGTCCCTTACAAAAAGAAAGCTCGGAAGAAAAGAAAGAAATTGGATGGAAGTACAATATAAAAAACAACCAGGAAAAAGACATTGTGGCTATGTAAAATTGTGAATTTGGTTTAAGTAAATGTACCATATTTTTTAATTAATTTGTTTTGCATATGAAGTATATAAGGTGTATTACTGGCATACAACATACCAGTAACCGCAATGTCTAATATTCCATTATGGTTAGCACTAGTGAAATGTTTCCATAGTTTTCATGGAAAACAATTTTTTTTAAAAAGATAATAAACTCTAGAAACATTTAAACAGACTTGATAGCAACTAATGATTTTTTTTTTTTCAGGACCAAGACTGTCATTGGTTACATGACAATTGGCTGGCACAACATCAAAAAAGTACATTTCTGACAAAAGTTATATGAATTCATTTTTTTTGTAAATTACAAGATTTACATATATTATTTTAGAAGACATCTCCAAGCCATACTTTGGCCAGTCTGATGAAGGCTTTAAGAGTATGTTAAATCTCCATTCAAACACACACAAAAAATAGTTTCATTCCCCTAGGGCATCCCAAAACAAAAAATTTGGCCTTGGGCATTAAAACTTTAATATTATTATTACCTTGTGGTGGAGGCGGCCCGTGGGCTCCTTGAGCTGCTGGTGGAAAGTATGGTTGTTGAGGGTAAACAGGGCCTTGAGGTGTTGGAAAGGTCCCTGGTGCTTGAGGGTAAGGAGGAGCAGCACCTACTGTTAGTTGGAAATGTCTTTAAAATTTTGAGAGCCATAAAGACATAGACTCTAATGTTCTGCTCTCAGACAAAGACCAGACACAATTTTACATTCACAAAAATCTTTATTTTTAAAAACTTTTCTAAGTATGAACAAGCGGAACAATCTACAGGAACTTGCATAAAGTATGATAAAGTTTTTTATATCTAAAAATTTGATATTACAGACCTAACTAAGAAATAATTTTTACTGACTCATTTTCCCTTCTTTGATTGGTTCCCGTTCACAATTTGAGGCTATTAATTCTTATGGAAATTATTTCTGGAGGTACAGAAAACCCTAAAATTAGCTTTCTATTGATTTTGCAGTTAGGCTTTCCTAGTTTACCAGCAAAACACAGCACTGGAGGTTTCAAGAGCCTGACCCAAGTAAGGAGCGCTACCTTAAATTATATAAACAAATCTGATCCAAGCAGGAAGAACTGTACTAAAGAAACACCATTACTGTTACAAGGCAACAAAAACATACATGTCAGATTTTCAAATCCAAGTGGTGGACCGCTGACAGGAGGTTGGACTGAACTAGAAACCTGAGGTTGATGATGAGCCTGGAGCTGAGGCTGATGTTGAATGTTAGGATCTTTTTGTGGCGGTGGTGGCAGCTGAAAACAAAGAAAAAAATATTACATTAACACATTTAAATGGAAAGATAATAATTCAAAGTAGAATTTTGAAGGAACTCATATTGGCAGTGGTTTTTACAAAATTATTTCTAGTTTTAGTTTTATTTCTCAATTTAAATTTGAGTGCCTTATGCAGTGTTTCCCAATTTGGGGTCTATACCCCACAAGGTGGGCTATTTGAAGATTATGAGTGTGGGGGGCGATATTTAGTGCTTTTTCTGCAGAGGGCAATGTATTAACATTTCAAAAGGGGGACATTAAAACTTTTTAGGTGCTCGGGTGGGGCATGGGACAAACAAAGTTTGGGAAACGCTGGTCTTTTGTAATAAATCCTATAAAAAGATTTTTAAGTGCTAAGACAAATGCAAATAAACTATAGCTTATGAATACTCACAACGCTACAAATGGCTTTCATCCATTCACTGCAATGTAAAATCATAGAAAAGTTTTAGTGAATTTGTATCTAAAAATAGGGGTCGGAAACCTATTTGCACGCATGGTGATTTTCAATGGCATGCCAAAGACTGAAAAAATAATAATAAATGACAAAAAACTGCATCTTACTTGGTAGACTTATAGGGCTATAGCATGGTGAATGTGAATGTTGTTTTTTTTTCAATCTTTACATTGTCCCTACACAATGTAGACAATTCATTAAAACAATTCACACAAAAAATTTAGTAATATTTGTGTCCTGCTTTTACAGAATATTTTATGCATGTAAAATATCTTAATAACAAATTATGATATTAATTTAAAAAATGAAAAATATGTTAAAATTTGATTGTAACGTAACTTTTTCAAGATATTGGCATTTTAGAATTTTGCCATGTATTGCTCCAAGATCTCTCAGTATAAATAATATTTTGCTTTGGTTTGCATATATGTGGGGTGAACAAGATCTCCCAGTATAAACAATGTTTTGCTTTGGCTTGCATATATGTGGAGTGAACAAGACCTCCCAGTATAAACAATTTTTTGCTTTGGCGATATGTGTGGAGATATAGTGTTATTAGGATTGCCATACTGTAATGATACCTAGAAAAAAGTTAACATTCTAAAAAATCACCCAGGGTTACCCACCAGGAGGTTTTCTCAGGGGTTAGATTGCAAAAGGGAGTCAGAAGAATCATGCATGGCTAGACAGGAAAATCCATTAGGAGAAAATTCTTAAGACACATGACGTCACTGATGTTCATAGTCATTCTAAATTCAAGTTGTTGCTTTATGCACAGCATTTGAACACGCAGGATTTTATTTTTGTGAATGATGTGCACCCAACACAAATATTTATATATAAGTTTTTAAGCGCAGTAGCAGAAGATCTTTAAATGGTAAAAACAAAAACTTGGTATTGATTTCCGATTTTAGTTTGCCTGTTAAATTAAGAACCAGGACCTGAGGAATATAAGTAAAAATCCTACCGTAGTTAGTTGTTTCCTTTTATGGTCTATCACTTAGTCAATTTAAATGGAGACAATATGCACACAAATAGACCCATTTTGTAAAATCAATCAAAAAAGGGCCCCCATCCCCGTAGTGAAGTATATTCGCAAATTTTTGATATACAGACATTTAAGACTATCTAATGTTTCATGGCCCTCAAAGATAGTTCAATTCCATCAGAGCCCTGAAATTATGAGACATAGCTCATTTTTTTAATAGTCAAAGAAAACCTTAAAATGTTTTGTTTTTTTTTTATAATTTTCAAAAATTATTATTAGTCTCACTGAAGACATGACAGCTTTTGTTTTTTAATCTGGAGATCTTTTATAAGTTACCTACTTCAGTTCATTTGCACTGGAGAAGAGAAACCAATGTATCTTTGCTTTGCTGCTTGGTTTCTGCGGGATGCCCAAGAGCCACTCATATGAAGCCCCTGGTGGGAGATCTGGTCTGTCTGGCATGCCGGCTGTAAATTCACCATAGGCAAAGTATTTGCAGACATCCTAGTTAAAGAATATATTTACAATCAAATCTGTTTTTTTTAAATAAAATTTTTATTTTAATGACTCTTAGGTATCTTTTAAACATGGCTGTTTCTTTCCCTCTTTTAATTAATATAGTTTCATAGTAATAGCTCCTAGCAGGGTGAAAGTTATAAAACATTACAATAAAAAAGCCGATGAGCTAGACTGGGGGGAAAAAACAATTTTGGTTTGTTTTTGTTTTTTTTGCTTTGTAATTTTTTTTTCTCCTTTATTATTATTATTATCTTCTACAGACAAACTCATATTATGCTTACAAAAGATTTAATTTAAGAAAATATTTGCATTCAAATATAATTTTTTCAATTTAAATCTACAGGAAGTAACATTTTCAGGTTGAAATTGCAAATAATAATAATAATGGCACGAAGTTAGAAAAAAGTAATGGATGGTCATCTTATAAATTTATGAAGAACTTCACTTCTAGTGAGTGTTTCAACATTCTGCAACAAACATGAATTTTGTATTGTTTATCAATGGGTTGCTGTTAACTTAAAAACTGCTTTATATTTTAGAACCTGTCGTGCTACAACAAAAAGAATAGAATTAATACCTTCATAAAGATGGAGCCCTGACACTTTGAGTCGCCCTGTTTTTTATAAACATTTAAAGTTGAGTCTCTGTGGAGCTCCAAAAATGATTTATGCCAACCACCACTCAAAATACTCTCTGAAAAAGTTAATAAAATGATTATTTTATAACAATCTCATAATCTCTTTGCATGTCCATGTGTTTGAAATAGATTAGCAAAGTTGCATGGTTAAGGGACATATTACTGGTCACTGGGTACAAATAATGGCAAAATAAATCAGGAAATTTAAAAAGTTCTGACACAAATCCTTGCTTATGCTTGGCTGCTAATTAAAATTGTTCGAATCCGTGACCAACGTATAAGGGCACATGCATTTCAGCCAACTGTTTATGGGCTGACGGGATTGGTTTGTCACTGTTACTAATAAAATTAATCCATTGTAATAATAAAATAAATATACCTATCTCTAAAATACGCAGAACAATTTATTTCTTAAATCATAATTTAAAATTAAAATAGTTTTTATTAAATATAGATTTTAAACTAAAATAGATATTTTTATATGACTTGAAAAAAAAAATTAGATCATTTTAATATGACTTGACAATAAAGTTGAAATTGTTTAAATATGACAAACATTCAATAAATAAAAAAAGTGTTATAAATTTGTATAGCTGAAAAACACAGGAGAATATCATCTTTGCTGTAAAGTAAGATTTTGTAAAAAAGCTTAAGTGATAAAGTATGAGGACTACAATACCAAATAAATAGAGACTACCATATTGAACATAGTGGAACATAGTTAACATAGTGGACACTTTTTTAAAAATTGTGCTCATACAATATTTTCTCTTTATGGTGTTTTATTATAAATGTAACAACCACATATCCACTAAAGTTCTGCACCCAAATTTTAACTTATTCAACAATGTAAACATCTACATGGGATATCTATCCAAACACAAGTATCTTGAGGATTTTTATCTTAAATTTGTGCCTGAGTCATGCTCCTGCACCAAATGCTCAGTTTGAATATGGCTTACCCAATGCTCAGTATATTGTAAACATTCTCTATGTAACACAACTTCAGTGAGTTATTTCACATGGTTTGTAAAATAATTAAAACCAACTTGATTTATTAATATCTATTTATTAATATCTATTAAATAAAATCTATTTATTAACTATTAATATATATTAAATAATATCTATTTATTAAGAAACATCCCTAAAATTAAATGCAGATATATCATATCTACTTACTGCTGTATCTTTTTATGTAGCCATTTTTAACAATATCACCCATTGCTAAACCTGAAGAGATTTAAGAGGGAAAAAATAGATTATAATGCCACAAGCCTCACTAAATATTAAGAAAAGATTTTATCGTTTCTATTGCTATCTATAAAAATATACATACGAAAATAAAAATTGTGATTCTTATTTATTTTTGCTTGAAATTCAAAGTTACAATTTAGTACTAGTAAATCAAAAGATTAAATGCTATATTTCTAAATGTGAAATTTATATTTATTTATGTCTTGATGTAATGGCTAGGTGGTAGACAATATTATTATTGCCAAGGCAGGGGGAAACCACCATGGGTCAACAATCATACGAGTTTCTTTACTTTAACAAACAGTTCTTTATCTGTAAATTTATCATGGTTTGGAAAGAGCCTCATGTAATAGTCATACCTCAATAAAATAATAAAACAGTGTAAAATATGTACTTTGAAAGGCCAATAAATAGTTAAAAATATAATATTTTGCTTGAAAATATGATACTAGTTACTTTGGTGAAATTTCCTTATTATTTCCAAAATTATAAATTAAATACCGTTGAATAAAGCTCATTGAAAGTTATGAACGTTTTAGTGCAGACCTCAATGCCCTACATACATAATTTATCCTCATTTTTGGTTCATTGAGCTCAAGCAAAAGTTTGATATTGATTAGAGTCTTTTGAGCTGATGTACCAATAACTGTCATACAACAGTGGAATATATAATATGTTGTAGAATTCTTTGGATAATGTGTTGTGTAAGTATTACTTATTTTCTTTTGAGGACACCTTTGGAAAGGAATGTATTTGACTTAGTAGTAATTAAAATTAGAAACCACACTTTTAGCATAGAAAAAAAAATTATCAGGTCTGAGTAGAAGGATGTGGTGAGGCAGGCCAAAGGCCTACATGGGTTATAGCGCCACAGGGATGGATAGAAGGGAGCAACCACAGATCGTTGACATTTCCTGTCACATATCTAGAGGGATACAATAAAGTTGCTATGTTGGCCACAAAATTAATGTACTGGCTGAAATTACGACTGGAAAGGTCTTTGACACTTCTTGCCGCATATCTAGTGGGATACAATAAAGGTGCTTGGTTCGCCACGAAATTAATGTACTGGCTGAAATTATTTCATTAAATTTTAACATTTTGTTCATATTTTCTTTTTTCTCGGTAAGTAGAAAAAAAAAACACATTCTCCCCCCCCCCCCCCCCCAACACCTTTCCCCCCCCCCCCCCCCATGTTGGCATTTTAAAAATCTTTTTCATGGATGGCCACCAACTTGGTTGCCATGTCCCAGGGGTGTCATGGTAACCAAGATGGCAGCTATGGGAAATGAGTGGCACTCCGACCCAACATTTACCCCATCTTCTTCCATTCTCTTCTATTTCCAACTAAATTTAAATCAAACAAGATGAATTGCATATTAATACTAATTAATTAAATTTTAAACATGGGGTATCGATTTTAAGACAATATTGATATTGTCCACATTGATCACACAGGGGAGAACTCTTCTGTGTTTAGCAAACAGTGAAACAGAAATGCAATCTGCCAAAACTGATAAATGGCAAGGCATGCGTCGCATGCCTCATGCGTTATTATTATTATTATTAATTATGTCATGTATACCATATTACACTATAATAAATCTTTTAAGGAATGTCTACCACCTATTTTGCCCACATCTCAATAAATGATTAGTCATAACAACAAAAAATCATGAACTTGCTAAGGCAAGGCCTTGCTTGCCATGAACATGAAATGATGTGATTTTGGAAGAGTAACAGAGAGTTCCAGCAGATTGAGATATTAATATTAATATTATTAAAAGTTACTGTTAACTACTGTCTATTATTATTTTACTACAACTACTAACTAGGCCAAGTAGTAGTAGTATTATTTATAGCATTGTTGATTGTTGCCGCACTGGCCTGAACATAGATATATGATAATGGATGATCATCAACACCTCCAACCAAGAAAGTGAGTTGAGTAGTGGTGAAGAATGTTGCCACTGCCGGTGATTGTTTGTGTTACCATCAAACACTGCACTGGTTGGTACTAGGTGGTAGCCTTTTACAACCATTTAGGGTGTCTGGTCATGATTAATGTTTAAGAGCAAATTAACTCCAATAAATGTGAAAATTGTACCTTAGAACTTTCGATCGATGTTTACACTTCAAGATATGTTGACTGTCCACAGTATAGATAAAAACAATCATGACGTCATTTCAAGAACGATTACTCAGACTAAAAAATATTTTGACCCACTATTCAGTGGCTATATCGGGTGCCTATATTTTGGTATCTTCTCCTTTTATTATTTTTTAAAGGGTTTCGTTACCTATAAATACATGGTTTCGAAAGATTTTCAAGTTTAAAATTATGTTATTTTAATTTCAATCGATTAAATTGTACATAATATTTTTAACAAAAATTAAAGTATTACATGTTTAATTAATATAGCCTCATGGGGTGTTCCAGTAATTATGTCAACAAAATAGTGCATAGGGGGGGGGGGGGG